TTTTTTTTTTATATTTATTTTTTGCGGTCGTTCTGGGCGTGCTGCTGTGCAGGGCAGCATCCTTGCCCTGCCCTTTGTTAGGCTGTGCGGAATAAAGCACACACACATACACACACCGTCATGGTGGGGATGTCCTCTAGGCAGCCAAAAGAGCCGGGATCTCTCAGGGTGGAGCGAGGAGGATCTTCCAGTTACTCTCATCCTTGAATTGGAGGAGGCAAACGCCGGGCTATTTATTCCATTGACAACTGGGAGAAATAGTAATCACGGCCCGTGACAGACCTCGCTGCCGCTGTCATCCCACAGATTCTTTGGTCTCTTTTCACGATGCTGACACGATTCCCCCCGGTGAGACCGCTCAGCAACAGAAATCTCTTGCTTGTAACTCCTCAGCTTTTATCTGTGTTGTAAATCTAGCTCCCCAGCTCCCAAATCTGATCCTGCGAAAAATCAGTCCTCAGCCATGTGCCAGTTGCTGCACAGCCCTTTGTGTTAAGCCGCACTGGAAGGACAAATGTCCTTAGACTGAGATTCGTGTTAATGATTATATGCTGTCATTCAGGTTATTTGACCACTGCATCCTTCAGAATTAAGGGATTTTTTCATTTGGTTTGGTTAGAAATCTTTTTTTGGGGGGTGGAGGGGGAGAAAGGGGAGTGGATTTTTTTTTTTTTAGTTTAGTTTTGTTTTTTTTTTTTCCCAGTCCCTAACCGGTCACTGAATAGAAAGTACTGTAGTCTTAAATAAAAATTAAAGCTAATGGAAAAAAGAGTAATGTAGAGAAAGAGAGGGAAACTGAACAGCCTCCAGGTGGGCCTACTGCATTTTGATACATTTAAATAGTTAAGTTTCAGCATGTTTGGAAAGAAAGCTGTTGCTTTTTAGGATGATGAGTAGTCCCAAAATAAAAAGAATAATTACTAGTACTTTTAGATTAGAAAACCCGTTTTCCTTGCTTTATGTACACATGGCTATAAGCAGCTTTGATCTATAGCTCCAGTCAAACACAGAAACTCTTACCGTTTGCTTAAATTCTGTGTAAGGGTGCTTACCATTTTAGGGGGCAAATTGTTTGAAGGCAGCATAAAGAAGGGAGATATGGCAGTTAAAAAAATTAATGCCAAGTCATTAAATTGGCCCTGAAGCCGTTAAGAGCTCAGATGCAAAAGAAAGTTAATCTTGAGTAAGAATAGTCAGCCACTTGAATGGAGAGCCTGAGCCTGGCACGTTGCAAATATTTGGATTTCAGCATGCTATTCAAGCTTTTCTAAGAAATGGAAGAATAGGATGAAAGAAGAGAATATTTTCCCCCTCCCGCAGGCCTTCCCAGCCTTTTCCAGTCAGGTCTTGTAAAATAGCCCGGTGGTGACTGGCCTACTTTTACAAATGCCCCCTTAAGTGCCTTGGCCGAAGGCACGCGATGGGTTACTGGTAGAGCCAGGAATAGCACCAGCAAATCCTGACTCACTCTTTGCTACTGTAAGCATTCTGGATATATTTTCTCCCAGAGCCTAATACCGTTTGAACAAGAATCTGACTCCTATTTTAGTAGTGGCACAGTGGACGAGAACTTTATTCTTCCTTCTGCGTGCGGAATAGTGCAGAAACAATCGCTTGGTTCGGGAGGGACTGAAGGGTGTGTTGGAGCTTTGGCTTTAGCAAGGAGCTGTCCCTAAAACCACCCCTGCCACCCAGGCAGTGGAGCTGGAGTACTTCAGAGTCCAGTACTATTTATTTAGTGTAGGGACTTCTGGAGAAAGTGTGTGGGGTGCTAACACGATGTAATGGTTCTACAGAGCTCAGGTACTGGAGGAGGGTTTTTTGGTTTGTTCTGTTTGATTTACTGAAGTACGGTTCCAGAAATGCTTTAATGTGGCAGTCCCGCTAATCTGCTGAACAGACACTTTTCAGGGGAGTGAAGATAAATTATGGCTTTCTCATAGAATTTTGCTGTTCTGCTTTCTGCTCTTGTTTTGTGGAGGACTCGGACTCTCTTTTCGATTCCTCGGGTGCTTTTGTGGCGATGAGTTAAATTATGAAGAAGACTTAGCTTGACATGTCCTAGGCCCAGTAGTTTCCTCAGTCAGTTTTCATGAAAAGAAGGGTGTGTGTTTCACTTGACATTTAACTACACAGATATACATTGCTGAGGGGTCTGTGCAGAATAGTTGACGTGCTGTGCATAATACCCGTGAATGCCAGAGGGAGCTAATTCTTTATCTTGTGTGAGGACGAGGAGGAGAACCTGGGCACATGAAATGGAACTGTGCTTAGGTGAACCGAGAGGAGCTTTCTTTGATAACATGGATAAAGAGTGAGTTAGCTACCACAGTAAGACCAAGCATTCAAAGAGTTCACTTCTCTGATTTTAATTAAAAAGAATAAAATAAAAAGGAAGGGAAACGCCCTTAACGGGTGGAAAACGTTAAGCTGTTTATTTATTTACTTTGCCCTTTCTGTGTCTTTCCCCCAGTTGTTCCCTTTGGCAAGCTCCCGAATAGCAGAGCGAGGAGAAGGGGAATATTGTTTCAGTGGCAGGCTGGGGTTTTGCTCTTGGCTTGGGAGGCTGCAAGATCCGTTCTGAAATTACAAGTCTTAGAAATAATTCTGACCCTTTTATGGCCAGCGTTAGAGCATTTGGAAGTTTTTAAAGCACAGGTTAGGACCTTGCTGTTAATGTGACTCTCTTGTAAAATTTGTGTGTGTTATCTGCGGTTCTAAATCTGTTCCTTTCCTTTTTTGCATAAGGTGTGGTTTTAAGTGCTGAAACCTGTATTCCTCCTTGTAGTCTTAAATGGAGACTGGAAAGAACCAGAAGTGAAACAGGCATTTTCTCACAGATAGGTAACTGCATTGCCATGGTAACTTGGGGATTTCAAATTCCAAATACAACATGTCTGTTGACATAAATTGGACACTGGTCCTGGAAACAGTGTTACAAAGATATATCTTGTTTTCCTGCCACTTTGGTTGTTTTATGTACAGTGATAGGGAGCATGTGGCACTTCATGTGAAATGCCCATTCTTAAATATGAAATATTGTGTGAAATACTATGCAGCAGCATGGAAAGTCGTTGTGATTCTGCCAAAAATACATTAATATCTGTTGCAAATTTTACATGGACTTAATGTACTTTAAAAATAAAACTACCCAATATTAATTTTTCTACTCAATGCAGTTCATTCTTGGTTGTGGGATTGGTTTGTTCTTTAATAGTAAAATTTGACTGTCGGAGCCGTGGCACACAGGAGGTTTCTAAGACTACTTATTAAACTAGACATCATTTCTCAGGTTCTTTTCAATGCAGTGGGCAGATTCTGGGTGACGTAGCAGTCATCTTCCTTTCAAGAAGCTGCATCCAGCTTTCACGTTTGTAAAGGGAAACTTGCAAGAGTATCCCAAAAGTAATGAATTTAGTGGTGTGCTGAAGGGTAGTAGTGATTTAATCTCTCTCAGGTTGTTCCTTCCAACACTCCCTGGCAGGGCAAGGAGCTCTCCACAGTGGAGCAAGTCTAGAAGGCTCTCGGTGATCTTCGTGTGCCCTGCACTTTTTCAGGGCTTCTGACCTGCAAGTTTGTTCATGGAGCAGTTTGTGCAGAGCCCTGCAGGATTGGGCATGGGGTTTTCCAGTTGTGTTTCCAGTAAAGTCCCCTTCCTTTCCTCTTTTCTCCCTTTCACTTTGGCTTTCTGACCAGCATAAGCAAAAATAAATCTTCTGGGGTTTTGGTTTTGTTTTTGTTTTGTTTTTAGATTCTGTGGACTGCATTAAAAGTTGGTCCTTTGCCTCTGACAGCAAGTTCTTCCCCCAGCCCCATGTTCACCAGAGTTGAATTGCAGTAGCTTTATTGAAGTAATTTTATAAACATATATAATTAACTACTAAAGAGGGTGCTATGGGTAGGAACCAGTATCAAGAAAGTGTTACAGTCCTAAATTTGAGATGAGGGTTTAATGTGAGATTGAGGAGGGAGAAGCGTTTGTAAAATCTCAGTCTTTTCAGTATTGGCTTTTTAGATGGGGATAGAGCTATACTTCAGTAAATGTCATCCCTCTGTTACTTCTTTCTTCCAGTGCTTCCAGAAAACTTTAAAAATTATCTTTAACTGTATTAGTCAACTTCTGAAAGGAAAAATTATAGGCAGTGTTTTATTGCATGGACTGCCTTTTAAGTTCAGTGGTGGCTAGCAAAGGTGAAGACTGAGATGAGTAAAGCTTTCTAGTTAAAATTCAGTGCTCTTACTGGTTAAGTCATGCTAAGATTTCTGTAGTTGTTAACTTCAGCTGCTGAGGCTTATTCAAAACGGTTTGTGTCAACTTTTTTTTTCTATGGTATGTAGGAAAGTGAGTTAGACCTCTTGCTTTACTTATTTTTGTTATCCTATAATCTAGCGGCGCTCCCCCCGGCCTTGAAATTACAACCCTGCAGTTTTATAGCCAGCAGCAGGGGTGGTAAAACTAGATGGATAATAAGGTTTTGGCTTCGTTCTTACAAACTTGTGAAGCGTGCGATGCAGGAACGTGAGGTGGGCTGGGAGCAGCCCCTTTGCCTGGTCTGATGCTGGGTGCCTGCAGCTCTGCTCGCTGGGTGAAGGCTGTGAGGAGACAGGACAGCCAGGGGAAGGAGCTTGCCCCGTGCCAGCCAGCAGGTCTGCAACACACGTGGAGGTAGGACAGCGGATCTGAGCCCCAGATACCATGTCCTCAGCTCCTCCTGGACCATTGTGTGTGGTGCTCTAAATCTCCAAGGGCTTCTGCTTTCCCATAATGAATGCTGTCAGCTTGAGAGATGGCCTTAATTGTTAGTGGAATAAAAACTGGGGGGGGAAGTGGTTGATATGCAATACTTGGGAGGGTTTATAGCTCTTTGTTTTCCTGGCCTGCTGCTATGGCTACAGCCTGCATGGGCTGCACAGGAGGGTGCTCTGACAAACTCCCGACCAGTTTCTTAACTGCAGCCAGGCAGCTAGTCTCCTTAAATTTACTGGAGTCCTGTTGAGCTTATGGTTGAGAGAAGGACACCTGATACTTAGGGCTTAGCAGAGATACGGGAAAAGCAATCTCGCAGCAGAGAGATGGGAAATCTTATCTCACAGGCAGCGTAAACAAGGAGGTAGCTTGTTTTTTCTCCTGATCTCTGTTGTTATTGCAGTTCTGGTTGCTGCATGTAAGGACGGAATGATGGAGGAAGCTGGAAACGGGGTAGATGCTCAGAATTCGGGGCGTTGCTGCGCTTCCCGTGGGCACGTGCAGAGTGGTGTCTGTGCCTCTTGGAAGGCTTATGCAGCCCAGTGGCTACAACAAATGGCTTTACAGCCAGCTTCACTCCTGTTTCTTTGCACTTCAGCCTGGTCTGTTGCCACATGAAGGAACATACTGTTGGGGAGCTTCCTCAGCCAGCTTGCTTGAGAATGGTGGGTCTGCAGTGATCTGGAGTTCCAGGTCCAAGGAGAAAGATTTGAGGATTTTATTCATTGTTTGAGTTATTTCAGCTGCTTGCTGTGTCCTAAGCAGTCCCCTAGTACTGGTGGGCTTTTGAGACACTATGGAGATCCTGGAGGGGGAGGTCGTTTGAGGGAGGCAGGATGACATGAAGGTGAAGAGAGAGAGAAATTGCTAGGACTTTAAAAAAAAAAATAAAAATAATTGGGGTGTGAGATAGATACTGTGAAGTCATTGACTAGCTGACAGCCTGATTGTTTCATGAAATCTGTCTGAAACAAGAGATTGACTCGCAAGTCGGTTTGCATTGTAGCTGCTGTGGAGTTTCAGCTTGTAATTTCCCTGACAGAAAAATTTCATAGTCCTCTGTCTTTTCAGCTGCCTGTCATATTTGCTCAGCAGAAAATAAAATGTTGGAAGTGATATGTTCTTGTTTAATCTGCAGCTGGCAGAGTAGGGATGATGCTGTGAGGACTCTTAGCGCAGGGATAGCACAGATTTTAAAAATAGGGCAGTGAAGGCCTCTGCAGCTACACCGTGACAGGTTTTTGCTGGCTGCAGCTGTATTTGCATTTGAACATCCTTTTTGTTCACTTGAGTTCCAACCCTATCCAGTCACCTTGATCCTTGCCTCTGCCCTGTACCAGAGCTTTTCTCTTTTTTGCCCCTGCAGTCCTGCACAGCCAGCTCGGTCAGTGATCCTCCTCTGCTGAAGGAGGGTTCTCCTTGGTCTCCCTCTAATCTCAGCTCGCAACAGGTCACTTCAGATTAGTCTTTGGGGGAATGATTTCTTCCTTGTAGGAGGTCTTAACGCCTTAGTCCCTTTGAAAGCCCTGGGTCTCCTTGCTGCCTGTGGATCTGACCTGCAGTATGGAGGTGCTCCTGATCCCCCCTCCTTGAGGACTCTTCTTGGTCTGGCCGTTGGGAATGATGCTGTGCCACGGGGGGGTTTGCTTAGCTTCTGGTTTAGCTGTTGGGGCAGCTTCATGCTGGCACCTAAAATAGGGACTCTTCCATGCTTTTTATAAAGACAGATGGTCCTCAGCCCTTGTGCTTGAGCTGCTGACAGAAGATTTTAGTCTCATCTGTTTCCTTGGAACGATCTTCTGCTAGCTCACTGAGAACACAGATGTTGCTGCCTTCCTTCCTCCCTCCATTTTCTTGATCTCGCAGGAGTTGCAACTTCTATCTCTTTGAAGGTGTTAAAATTTTCTTGTGTGTGTGTTTCTCCCTGGGTTTGGGGAGGAGACCTGCTGACTAGAGGAAGGTGAATTTTTTGCGACACTCCAGCAGCTTCGTAGAGTGGTAATGGGAGGTGTGTGTTTTAAGTCATGGCAATATGTCCTGCATGTCACACTTGTGATCTTACTCCTATTGATGATAATGACATCCTATGGAGAAAAGACCAACAAATTGTAACAAATCAGTAACTGGTTCAGTCAATGTTTGTACAGCTTTGTAAAAATTTTCTGGAAGACCTGAGTGGCCTAACAGAAAGTTTTGGGCGGAACAGGTTAGCCTGTGTCAAGGTGCCCTATGAATACTCCCGTGACTATCAAATTTGCCCTGGAACAGTAGTCTCAAGCTTTCAAAAAACTTGGTTTTCACTTTGTAGCTTGTTTCTTGTGCTTTCAGGTGTGCAGCCTCTTTATTTGTACCCAGCTGGCATGGTGTGCTTTGCCTTGGCTCTTTCCTTTTTCTGCAGTAATAGCTGCAGTTGGCTTTGGGTTCTGTTGTGTGTGCTTGGTGTTTTTGTTCTGTTGACACAGCGTCTGCAACAATGGGGTCCCTCTGCATGACTGGAACTCTGGGTTTAACAAGAGTAGTAACAAGAGTTGGCCAGATCTCTTTGACCTCTAATTAACTACTGGAGGTACAGAACATCACCCGCCTGAATGCAGGTCACAGCAAGCATATTTTCAAAAGTTGGGAGTGCCACAGCTGCACACTTTTGCTGTGAAAGCAGAAAGGAAGGGAATGACTTGGAGATCCTAACCTTCCATTTCGCCTTTGGAGTTGTTGTAGCCTCTATTTGAAACACAGCATGAAGCAAAGGAAATGTTAATTGAGTATATCTTTGATAGGAGTGGACTCCATGTAATTGCAGAGGCTAGTACTAGAAGCCATCAGGCTGGCTTCTGCCATCAACATTTTGTATAGATAGTTTTAAAAATACTGTGCTGAGTGCTGTTCAAATGGAATTGCTTTAAAAATTTTGTGCGGCAGTTCTTACAAGCCCATTAAAGGATGTTCAGAAAAAAGTTGTTTTCTTGCTCCATCAGTTTTGAGTTTCAACCAGTTTCTCCCTTTTCCTCTTTTTAATTTTGTGTTTTCTTTTTTTGTTGTTTTTACTGCAGATCAACTTGAACGTGTGTTCCTGCGTCTTGGCCATGCAGAAACAGACGAGCAGTTACAGAACATTATTTCCAAATTCCTACCCCCTGTTCTGCTCAAGCTGTCCAGCACACAGGAGGGAGTTCGTAAAAAGGTAAGGGTTCAGTTTGCCATAATGGTATGTTGTCCTGATCAGGGAGAAGGAAATGCCCTGATGTGTGGTAGTTTACTATACTTGGATGTCCTCTGTGGAGAAACTTACTCTTTGAGGAAAAGCTGTCATGAGCCTCATGGGGAATGAATTATTACAACTGTTAGGGCTTACAAGCAGTGACCCTTTTCTTTATCAGCAAGGTCTTTGCAGCTGTGTGGAGGCTGCATTTGTTCTGCTTGCGGGCAGCTAGCTGTGAGTTAGCCTGAGCCCGAGACTTACTGCCACAGAGGCAGTGGCTGTGGCTTCCAGGTTAGGGCTGTGGTGGGTCCTCCTGGCTTAACGGCACGTGTGGAGCAAGCTTGCTTCTGTGTGTGACCATGAAGACATACTCATTGATGTGTTTCACCCGTCTGATAACAGAAACAGGAGCAAGGACCAAACAGTGTTGAAGATGTGCCCTTGAAGCTGTGAAGAAAGGCATCCAAGTAGCTAGTGACATTTCTTAGGGTGTTCTTACATGATGCTTTTCCCGTGAACTGGAATGTTGTCTGTATTTTTGTGAGATTCAGGGAAGGGGGAGGACTACTCCTTTGAAAATTGCATCTTAAGAGACCTCTCAAAATCAGACAGTATTCTTATGGTGTGTTGTACTTTTTGTGTTAGAAATAATAAGAAATAATTAGACATAATGAAATAAAACTCATTTCATCTTCTTCCATCTGTGTGTTTAAACTATAGATTATTATCTATGCAAGATGATGATATTATAAGCAATTACAGGACTTCCCTGTACTTCTTGGTGTTTGCCAAATTCATTGCAGTCAAGGAAATTACCCTGAATTCTGCTCTTGCCATATTAGTAAAAGGAAGTTGATTCTCTCAGTATTCTGTTTTCAAAATAAATTCAAAATATAACAGAAGGCTCTGTATGTGTTGATTTTTATTTTGTCTTGTCTGGTATTTTTTATGTATCAAAATAATTTATCAGTTAGAGTGGGGAGGGAAGGACAATTTTTTTTATTCTAATGAACATCAGTGGAGATTTACTGTGGAGTGTATAACCTGCAGGTAAATCTGTTCAATGTACGCACTGCCTTTTACTTACATCAAAACTCAGCTTTTCAGTGTTCTACTTACCCTTAATTGCCATTAATCTGGTGGGAAATGTCTTAAGAAGTCTGATGGATTTTCAAATGCTAATGACTTTTAAACACAAATACTTAGCTTTCCAGTGCTAATTTTGCCTGCTGGACAGCAAAGAATGTGCCTATTGTTCAACTCCGGCCTCAAAATCATGTTAAGGCTATGTAAATAAAACAAAAGCACATGTGGTTTTTTACATGAGCTTTCAGACAATCGGGGAAACTAATCTAATAATGAAGCTGAAATAGAATGGAAAGAGAGAGACAAACTTTTTATTCACCCAGTGACTAACTATAGGCAATGACAAAACCCTGCCCTCCCATGCCATGTCTCTCTTCTACGATTATTGTAGTGGTTAAAAAAAACAACACAAAAAAGACAACATCAACAACAAAAAATGTGTGCCGACATAGTTAATTGTGGTTTGAAAACTTAGAGCATTTTAATTGAATTGACAGTGTAGCTTTTGATAGTATAGATATACAGGCAAAAAAAAGAGCATCTCTGTGTTGCCAGCATGCTGCTGAAGTGTAGATCAAGTGTAGATCGGTTGTCCAAGGACTTCCTTTCACCCAACTTCAGGAGCACAGTGTAGTTCATTCAGTGCACCAAATGAATTGACTACATTTTAATTTTACTCTGACTCCCCAGACTAACTTTCTTCTCAAGCTTGTACATCTAGAAATTAAAATTCCATTTTCTCCTTCGCACTGTCTTAACATATTGCTTTGTTGGTGTTATCCCTGCCCTTAATTTTGTGACTGCCAGGTCACTATTACTGCCTTATTCAGTAATTTGAACTCATTGTCCTCATACATTTTCAGATGTAGGGTGTAGTCTAGATCATAGAATTGTATTGTAGAGTGGTTAGAGCTGGAAGGGACCTTAAAGATCATGGAGTTCCAACCCCCCTGCCATGGGCAGGGACACCTCCCACTAGACCAGGTTGCTCGAAGCTGCATCCAGTCTGGCCTTGAACACCTCAAGGGATGGGGGATCCACAGTTTCACTGGGCAACCTGTTCCAGTGTCTCACCACCCGCACAGTAAAGAATTTCTTCCCAATATATCATTTAAATCTCCCCTCTTTCAGTATAAAACTTTCCCCTTGTCCTATCACTACACTCTCTGATCAAGTGTCCCTCCCCATCTCTCCTGTAGGCCCCTTTTGTGTACTGGAAGGCTGCTATAAAGTCTCCCCAGAGCCATCGCTTCTCCAGGCTGAACAAACTCACCTTCCAGCCTGTCTTCAAAGGAGAGGTGCTCCAGCCCTCTGATCATCTTTGTAGCCCTCCTCTAGACTCACTCCAACAGGTCTATGTCCTTCCTGTGTTGAGGGCCCCAGAGCTGGGCGCAGAATTCCAGGTGGGGTCTCACCAGAGCAGAGGGGCAGACCCTGATGGCCACACTTCTTTTGATACAGCCCAGGATGCCATTGGCCTTCTAGGCTGCCTGCACGAGTTGCTGGCTCGTGTTGAGCTTCTTGTCCACCAACACCCCCAAGTCCTTCTCCTCGGGGCTGCTCTCAGTCCATTCTCTGCCCAGCCTGTATTTGTATTTGGGATTGCCCCGACCCACGTGCAGGACTTGGCCTTGTTGAACTTCATGAGGGCCATATGGTTCCACCTCTTAAGCCTGTCCAGGTCCTTTGGGCAGCATCCCTTCCCTCCAGCATGTTGACCACACTACACAGCTTGGTGTCATCGGCAAACTTGCTGAGGGTGTACTCAATCCCACTGTCCATTTCTCCAACAAACATGTTAAACAGCACTGGTCCTAGTACTGACCCCTCATCACTGGTCACCACTTGGACATGGAGCAGTTGACCGCAAGTCTTTGAGTGTGACCATCCAGCCAATTCTTATCCACTGAGTGGTCCATCCGTCAAATCCATGTCTTTCCAATTTAGAGACCAGGGAGTCATGTGGGACAGTGTCAAATGTGTAAGTCCAGTTAGATGATGTCAGTTGCTCTTCCTTATCTACCAATGCTGCAATGCCATTGTAGAAGGCCACCAAATTTGTCAGGCACTATTTTACCTTAATGAAGCTGTGCTGGCTGTCACCAGTCACCTTCTTATTTTCTATGTGCCTTAGCAAGAGTTTCCAGGAGGATATTTCCACATAGGTGGTTAAGCTTGCAATGCATATGCCGCCTTAATCCATTTACTCTGAAAAGGTAATCCCTCTGACAGGTGAGTTAAATTCAATTCTAGGATGTCTTCTACCAAATCAGTTACCCCAGCAGCGTCACCCAGGAAACTAATCCAGGATAAATTCACTCTGCTGGTTCAGATGTGCTCCATGCACTGGCAGCGTTTGTGCCAGACTGGATACTGTGTTGTTTTTATGCAGCCCACATGAAGCCATCAAAAGAATTAAGAAGGACTCATATTCCCAAGTGCAGACATTTGCCTGATTCAGGTCAGGTGAGTACTGATGGATGAGATCCTTAAAGAACCAGTTTGATACCAGTGATCAGAAGAGCTACTTCCTCACAAATCCCCAAATCCAGCTATCTCTTTTTTCACCAGCTGCTGTGGGTAATTTGAACAGGTTCCTCAAACTCTGTGACAGTTGTGTGTTTCTCTTCCTTCATTAAAAAAAAAAAAAAAAAAAGGTGTACAGGCAGGTTTTTTCCTCTTTAAAAGAACAGGAATTTGTGATTGCCATTATAATAATTTTTAGCAACAAAATTTGGTAGCTGTCAGCATTGCTGAGTTCTCAGCTTAACTCTGGTGTCAATCACGTGCTTGTGGTCAGCGATGGGGTGTCTCTAGATTGTATCTGGACGTTATTTTGTTTGATGCCTAGTCACGGAGTGGGTGCAAAGATGACATCTTGGCTCATATGCAGCTCAGCAAGCATACGGTTCTGCAGTTCCCATGACAAACCTCAGTGACAGCACTTTAGCTGCTTTTTCACCATCCTGTGACCAAGGAAATCAGCTGTCAAAAGCACAGGACAGTGTGGCTTTTGGACTTTCATTGCTTGAAGTCAACATGCATCTAGGACTGGGTCTGTCCAGTTTTACTGGAGATGAAGTTATTTAATGTCACCTACATGTTTATACCACCTTGCTTGAGAATCTGGTAGGGTTTGTGAGCAGGATGCAGGTGTTCAGTGAGATTTCTCAGAACCCATTGTTCCAGAGTGGAGATTGTCTGTAGTTTTTCAAGTTTCTCCATTCAGTTACGGTATCTCTTGTTGTGGATTTGCAAATGACACTTTGCTGGTGCAATGCTGGGAAACTACTTCATGGAATTGTAGAATCGTGGGATAATTCAGCTTTGAGGGAACTTCAGAAGGTCTCCAGACCAACCTCCTGCTTAAAAAGGTTCATTACAAGTTCAGACCAAAATGCTGAAAGTTTTAATGAGGTGGGTCTTGAAAAACCTCAGAGGATAGAGACTGGGCCCTTGCTCCACTACTTGAGAGTGCTCATAAGGAGAACATACCACTCTGCACCTCTCTTGTTTCAGCACACTGTGGTTGTGGCTCAGTTTGGTGTCCACCAAGCTGCTGCCCAGGCCCGTTGGTGTTGCTGCAGGGCAGGGCTGGACGTTGCTCTTGCCTGACATTCACAGGGCTCCCGACGGCTTTTCCTCTTGCCTGAAGGATTTCAGTTCTGTCTTGTTCCTCTCCAAGCATAGTTTTCATACACTTATTTGATAACTTTATTATGGGTGGGGCTTTTTAACTTTTTGTTTGTTGTTCTGTGTGGTGAATTGGAGTTACTCTACAGCCACAAATCTTGCAAATTTCTAAGCCAGGCTCAGTTTTGAGGAATATTAACCAACTGTGTTGAAAGAACTGCTCATCCTCAGTAACCATTTCTTCCTGACTTTTCTGTTGACGGCGGATGTCGGTTGTGGCATGGTTTGGGACTTTTTACGTGTTTGTCTTAACAGTGTCTTGAGACATATCAGACTGGTTTCAAGATAATACAATACATGATGGATGCCATTTAAATAATCAGGAAGCTCAGGTCTGATTTGTTTATAATAGGCCTACTTAGAGGACTAAGGGGGATGTGTGGAGTCCAAAGTAGTAAAATCTGTGTTTTCTTCCTATCAGGTGATGGAGCTGCTGGTTCATCTGAATAAGCGCATCAAAAGCCGTCCGAAAATTCAGCTTCCAGTAGAGACATTGCTAGTTCAATATCAAGATCCTTCTGCGGTGTCTTTTGTCACTGTGAGTGTGTTCTTTCAAGAATAGTTGCTGATTTACTTGCAACAAGCAGAATACTCTTTAAAGCTCCTGTATTTAGCTTTGTAGGTTTTCCTAGCAAGTAAGTTATTGTCATGAGGCTGATAAGAGTTTTTTTTAAATTAAACTTTATAGTTTGGTGTTGATGAAACTTAGTTTCATAAGGCAGCTACACTCTTGATTTTGTTCAAATTACTAATAATTACTCTTGAAATTTCATGAATGCATGTATTGTCATTGCTTGTGTTGTAGAGGTTCTATTAATTGTTAGAAGCTCCATTTTGCAAGCAGCTATCAATACTTATCCTGATACTTATCCTGATACTGAAAACATCTCCATTTCTCAGAACACATGAGAACCTGTATTTTTATGTGTTTTTAGGGTCAGGACCTTAGTTGAGCAAGAAAAGATGAAAAAAACCCAATGTTATAGATGGGGAAGCTTTACTAGATGTTTTCGTTCAATGTAGTTTAAAAAGTGAAAAGAGTCTTAAAATGTTTTTGTGAAACTATGAAGACAGTTTTCATTTCAGCTGTGGTAGATCTGTTGCAAATCACCACCATGAAAAAAGTGATAAAATCAGAGGGAAACTTTGTCCTCATTTGACTATTCAGTCATATGTAGCATAGATGGAAATCACAGCATCTTAGAAACTGATGCTGAGATATTTAGACTTTCAGCAGCAGTAGCATAGAAGTAATCTTAGACTGTCTTTAAGCAAGTGAAATTATCTGGAGTTCAGCTTTTAGAAATGGCCAAGGGCTTCTAGAGTGCATGTGTTCTGCAAAGCAGTAAAAAAGTCTTGTTTGAAGAAAAACTTGACATAAACTGTGCTTTCAGCTGGACATTCGTTCAAAAGATACATTTCATTCATGTATCTGAGTGATGCATGTTTTTTCGTGCCTTGAGGCTTCATAAAATTTTAACAAGTGTCATCTACAAAGAAGTATAAGACTTCCCACTTCAATACTTCTTTCAACCACGTCATTGAACACATATATCTTACTTCTACAGTTCTTGGCTGGATTTGGATCCATATGAAAGCATAGTCCAGTATTCAGAGTTGTTCTGCTGTCTCGGGACTCTGTTTCGATCATGTTTGCAGCTTTTAGCTACAATGACTTCAATGCCATTTTCAAGAGAAACCTTGTCTATGACAAGGCTATGATTTTGATGAAATCAGCAGCGAATAAGAGAAGCTAGAGAGGGTTTTCCTTCTTTTAAAATGAAGGCTCAGGAAGACTTACTCAGAAAACCCTTTTTAAGGGTTTAACCCCTTAATTAGCCCTTTACTAATCCTTTAATAGCTGTCAGTCTGATGAGCCGTAGAATTAAGAAATTGGTCTTCCAAAACATATGTTGTTTCCAACACCCAGTTGTATAACACAACGGACAAGAAGAACTTAAAGAACAGATATTTCTTTTGCACTGTTGCAATACTGTGTGGTTTTTTTACTCCTTTAGAATTTTACCATAATTTATGTTAAGATGGGATACCCCCGTCTGCCTGTGGAAAAACAATGTGAATTGGCTCCAACTCTTCTCACTGCAATGGAAGGGAAACCTCAGCCACAGCAAGACAGGTATAACTAGCTTATTCTTGGTGTGAATTGTGCTGGTACTGTTTTAGTAAAATTATTTGTATCATTTGATAAAAAGTTGTGTTTTTTTTCTTTTGTGATATCTTCATTGCTTAGGATGTTCTTGGCTTGTACCATTTGGATCAGCAATTCAGTAGTTTGGGTAGTACAAAGAATTCCTATAGGCTGATGTTGTAATAATATACAGGATCTGCAGCAGCAGACTCTTCTGTTTAATAACAGGCCTATGTTAGGATGAATATGCCTGTCCGTATCCCCCATCCATCTTCATCAAATTCTGGTTTACAACTTAAGGCCAGACCTTCAGTAAATATCCTCTGTCCAGCAACAGGAACAGCAGTGAATGTCTCAGATTTAAAATTTTAAATTTCTTATGGATGAGACAGTCCTAGTCTGTATTGAAACATTAAAAGTCTGGACAAAGTCAGTGACTTTCTCTCTCCAGATGTGTGTTGTGTGTGTACATGTATGCAGACATTTATGTTCTATGTTAAGTGCAAATCCTAATTTATCTTCTGCCTTCCATTTTTAAGTACATCAGCTGGCAAATAGAGGCCACTGGATTGTGAATCAGTTTAACTTTTGTTAAGGTTTTTTTTGCTATTAAGGGCCAGGTTTGTTGTTAAAAGGTTTCTTTCTTGAATGTTAAGAATAAACAGGTGTGGTTTTTTAAATGGTTGCAGTAAATATAATTGTTTTTCAGCCTAATGCATCTTCTAATACCAACCCTTTTTCACATGAAATACCCTACTGAACCACTGAAAGCAGCAGCTTCTCCATTTAATCTTGCTGAAAAACCAAAGACTGTACAGCTGCTTTTGGACTTTATGTTGGATGTTCTTCTTATGCCTTATGGGTAAGTAGGAGTTAATACCAGTCTTCTCTGGTATTGATGTGTTCTTTATGTGTGAACCATTACAAACTGCACCCTTGGAAACTGATTTAATATATGCTGTTATTTCCTGGCTCAAATGAGGCAAATTGCATGTTTCAGTAAGATACAAAGCAGGGTCCTAATTTTAAGAATGGGATCACCATCTTCCTTATTTAACAAATTGTCTTTTCTCTACTTAACTAGGTGTTATGGTATTCTGTCCTTGACCTCTTTTGGGATCAAAGTGAAGCTATGAGACATGTGAGCTATCTGTTAAATAACCAAACCTTTAAAATAGAAGCCAGATCAAAATGTGTGCTCATCTTCCTGCAGTTGAGTTTATGGCTTTGTCTTCCAAGGTCATAGGCAGGCGTAGTCTCTGAAAACTTGTGCTTTCCAGGATTGAACTTTTAGTAACAAGATTGGTCTTTCATCTGTTCTGTAGTGAAAAGTGTTTTAACTGTAATGGTGTGTCTTGGTGTGAGCACTGTTTCTGGGAGCGAGAATGATTTACAGAGCAACTTAAATTTACTGATCACTGCTTGTTAGGAACCCTCTAGTGTCTAAAATCAATACTTTCTCAAAAATCTATTTTCCACTAACTTTTTCAGTGTCTTTGTATTGCTAGGGGAGCTTTTGACAGAAAATAGAAATAATTTTAACAGTAGAACACATTTATTTTTTCTGACAGTTCATTGATTCCCGTAGAATTGTTCTGAGCACCTACCTCTTGATCACCCAAGTGGATTAACCTGAAGGAATGACTTCTAAAGTAGTGAGCATGTGATGTTTCTCTTTGTAGCTTTGCCGGAGGTCATGCTCCCATCAGATGTTGTGAGGGCCACTTGGAGTGTGTGGAGTTTTGCAGTTAAAAGTTTAAAATGCCTGGCCTGCTCCTCAGTTCAGAGCTCATGCTCTTCAGATTGCCCAGGTTTATGCTCTCAGCTTCAGCAGCTGAAGTCCTTGGGCTTCACTTCCTTCCATGCTTTTGTACTCTGGCCAACCATGGCAGTTTTTAAATACTCAGAGAAACCTCCAGGGTAGGGTGAAGGTTTCATTTTCTTCCCAGGAGGTGAAGTCTTCCCTGAAGACACCCCCGGTGTCTTCAGCGAGCCTGTGGCTCTGGATGCCTGTCTCTTAAAGTCTTGTTCCCTGGGGTGAGACCATTTTCAGCTCTCTACAGCTAATTTATGCCTGGCAGAACTTGTTCTGTCTTTGCCCAGTTGTGAATTAGCCTTGCCAGTCTGCAGGCAGTGTAACAACCAGAAAGCCTAACTGTAAGGCTTAAACCTCATACTCCAGTTCAAGTGTTTAAAAGTTTTAGCTAATGAGACTGGGGATGAATGTTTGTCCTTATTGTTGAGACTTTTTACTTCCTTTTGTTGCCTGTGCGTTGAATGCAGAACAGATTATGGCTGTCTGGAGTAAAATAATTCTTGTTGGTCTCCGCACGACAGTTCTGATGCCTTCGTGTGTTGACCAGCTTCCAAGGATACAGGGAGAGGTGGAGTGGCTTTTGGGAGAGTATGGAGGCATGCGCAGGGCATAGACTAGCCAGTCTCCAAAAAAGGCTAGGATCTGTAAAATTTACCTCTATTGTTTTTACTTTCCTTCCCTGCCCAGTACTGAAACTGCCATTTTCCAAGACATTTTTTTAAATTTATTTTTTATATCAAGGATTATTTCCTGCCACTTCATCATGTTGCCTATGCTTCATTATTTCCCTTGTTAGGTTTACATTTTTCATAGAAATCATACAAATGTTGTTAAAGCTTTTAGTATAAGTTTCTCAAACATAGTCCTGAGTATTCACTTCTCATACAGAAGAGGTCATTCTTTCTGGTTTGTAACCTCAGATGACTTTTCAGAAATGCCAGTGGACCCTTCCTTTTCCTAACAGAGGTTTGTTTTCTTACAGTTATAGTGAGATCGTTAATGGCTCTTACAGAATATGCTGGGATAACTGGTAGCTGAGTCTCAACTCAGTAAAATTCTGTCCTAAGTCAGAGTCATGGAATTAATTAAAGAAGAATACGTGAAGTTGGACAGGTTATGTTTACTCCTCCGTTCCAGCCTCTAATTCAGTTGGTGATGTGGATTGGTGAAGCCTCTATTGAAACTCCTTTCCCACCTGCCTAGGTTTGTATTGAATGAATCTCAGAGTCGACAAAACGTGCCCTCATCCCAGGGCTCTTCATCGAGTAGCGTGGGAGGTCCTGGAATCCCTCAGCCGCCTCCAGGGATGAGCTTTTATGCAGCCAAAAGGGTAATTGGAGATAGCCCATGGACACCAGAGCTGCTGGAACAGGTACTTGCTGTGGGGCTGGTCCTCAGTGAACTGGGGATGGTAACAGGGATAGGTACAGACAGAGGAAAAGAAGGCCAGAGGGAAGACATGTAACTAATTCTGACCAGGTCTTTAGTTGCCCAGAGGGAATTTATTGAGGGACTTCACCCCATCTCTTAAGGAGCTGTGCCATGGTGGGATGGGCTGGTAGGTGCCAGCAGTTCTCAGATCAGGTTAGGAAGCAACCGTGACTGCAGGCTACTCCTGTGTTTTCCTCCTAAAGAAGGTTACAAAACTCTATTATGTTGATGAAATGTCATTTTTTAGCAGAGAAGTAGCAGTGTGTCCCTAATTTTAATGCTGATATTGCTGCTGGGTGCAGCTAAAGAGATGGGAAGCGTGTGAACTTCTCCTTAGCAAGCAGCATCCATCCTTTCAGGCAGCCAAACTGCCACAGTTACTGTAACCAGCATTTTCTTGTCAGTAACAGCGCCTTTGCTTTCCCCTCTGTTGAACAGTGTAAGCTGGGGATAGTGAAGTTCATTGAAGCTGAGCAGGTGCCAGAGCTGGAGGCTGTGATACACCTGGTTGTAGCCTCCAGCGATACAAGACACAGCGTTGCCACTGCAGCAGACCTGGAGCTAAAGAGCAAACAGAGGTAGGAGTTTGGGTGCTTGGAAAAGATGGTGCTGGTGTTCCTGACAAAGCTAGCTGCGGTTAACATCGTGCTGTGGAGAGACTGTGGTCCCAAAGGAGGAAGGCTGCAGTCCCCGCATACCCGTGAAGCTGCCCTGTGTTCACAGGGGCTGGGAATGGTGTGGCTCACAGTCTTCCAGCTGGGAACATTGCTTGGCTCCAGAGCTGACAGCTTCAGCTGTCCGTGTTCAGTCATCTCTGGTATTGCTTTTGAGCCATTTGCTTACTCCTTGGTTTCCAAATTTCCCTCTGTGGATTATCAATGGTCAATAAGGCCTTAGTAGGTGATTCACAGCTGGTCAACATATCTATATTGTCTTTCTCAGAAAAGTATACTTTCATTTAATTTATTAAGGCAGTAAAGAGACTGTAATTGTGAAGGGGACCATAGTCTAGGAAGTTTGGCAGCCACTGTTGTCTGAATTATTGAAGCTATTACCCATCTGCAGTCCACCCTCTGTCATCTAAAGACGATGCTTCTGTCTTTGACTCCTCAAGAGGCCAGAGTAATTGCTGTTGGTACTATTCACTGAGTCATTGATGGTACGAGGTTTGCTGGCTCATGTGGGAGATTTGGAGTGAGAGAGGTCTGCCTTTGAAATGTGTAGGTGGCTTCTCTATTACTAGAAGTATAGGACTATTTAACTTGGAGTCAAATATGTAACGTGAAACCTTCTCCATTGGAGTCTGTTCCTGTGCCTCAATCACAGCAAGAGAGATGGTTCTACTAAGTGACGACAGCCTGGTTAAAGAGGGTGGTCTCTCCTTGTCTCATCTTTCCCTTTGTGTTGGTATTCTTTGCCTGGAGAGCAAAATACGTTTGTGGACAAAATGCATGTTAGTATCCAATGTTAAATGTCTTACATGGGAGATAAAAGCTCAGTTGTTTGAAAATCAGTTTCTCTACTGAAGGAATGAGATGGTTGTGTCTTCTCCACTTTTTTGAAGCATGTATGCTTAACTTTTCATTTTCTGTGGGGTGTTTTTTGGGTATGTGTGTGTTCCAAACAGTCTCATAAATAGCTGGCATTAGATGGTTATCATGGGCAGATGGGCTTTTCTGAGAGTCCAAGATGAAATAACTCTAGAATTAAAAGTTCTAGAACTGTTCTCTATTGAAATGTCGAAGCACCAAAGTTGAAGAGTGTGGAGAAATTTATTAACAGATGAGCGTTATGTATTCAGTCGCTAGACAACCACAGTTTACATCTTGTTTCAGTGGGAGAGAAGGGACCATGTAGGTTTCTCCCAAATTATTTTGAATTATGTTTTTAGAATTCATAGGTGTAAATTGTAATCACTTAACATACTTCATGATTTTATCTTATGTGGATGTGGGAGGAGCAATTAGATTATCTATTAAATCTATTATCTATTAAAACTCTGGTAAGAATATGAATATGATGCGAAATGCTGTAAAATGTGTATTTTAAAAAGTGATCAAAGGTCAGAATCGTAACATGTTGGTGTTCAATGTGTTTTTTCTATAGTTTAATTGACTGGAACAATCCTGCTATAATCAACAAAATGTATAAAGTGTATCTTGGGGATATACCACTGAAAACCAAGGAGGTAAGATTTTCCTCCAGAGTTGCATACCGGCTTAACTTCTGAAGCTGTAATTTTAGTTGCCTTACTGTATGTGGAGAAGACATGTATCTATTTCTTAAATCTGTCACCTCCTGTTATCTCTGCTTTCACTGAACATTTCTGGTATTGAATAATTTTTTTCTCTGTCCCAGTGTGTTCTGATTTGCAGCAGGAGGTAATTTAACTAACTTAAAAGTACTGCTGTCCAAAGCTGCACCGCATTATTTCAACTCTCTTTCTCACAGGGATCTGTTCTGAAACCAGAAATGAAACGAGAGTCAGTCAGCACCCGTGTTAAATTAAAGATAGTTCCACATCTTCTGCGATCCAGGCAAGCTGCAGAAACATTCCCAGCTAACATTCAGGTAATGCTTACGTTCCTAAGCTGCTCTTCCTAATGAGCTTTAATAATGCAGTTCCCTCAGTACTTAGGGGAGGGGAGCACTGCTACTGATGACAGTGTTTAAAGAAGAAGGGGAATTAGAAAACCTTTGAAAGTGAGGCCAGCCACTCTCTATAATCTGCTCTTTATTCCTTTTGGCCAGGTGGTTTATGATGGACTCTTTGGTGCAAACACAAATGCAAAGCTGAGAAGTCTGTCCTTGCAGTTTGTGCATCATATTTGTATCATGTAAGTAATTTGGAGTGAGCACAATGTTTTTAAGCTATTTGCCTAGAAGCCAGTCTGTTTACTAAATAAATAACTGAACTAAGGACAGAGAAAGAGTACTAAAACTCATAGGAAAGTAGAGCTTTTTCCTTAGTCCTTTATTCTGTGTATGTGTGCTTACACACATTAAGTTGTTATTTCTCAACTTAAAAAAGTTAAGAAAAACTGATGCTGAGAAAAGATACTTTCAAGGGATGCAAAAGATAATATTTTGTTTATTGTTGTCTCTAATTGCAGTTGTCCAGAAAGTAAAATAAAGCCCTTGGGTCCAATGCTTCTAAATGGACTTACGAAGCTGATCAATGAATACAAAGAGGTAAGCTGAAAGGTTCTTCGCTATAGAGCTATAGTTCTTCCTATGAATACAAGCAAAAGACAAATACCTGTATGATGGAAACTGATACATCTGGTTTTTTGTAGTTCCCTGAGATGGCTATCAAAGGACACTTATTAAGAAATATTGTTGGAAGAGAAGCAAATACTTTTAATAGGCTGCATAAGAAAACTGTTTTATTTGTTTAACAGCTATGGATGCTATTTGCAAAGTCTCAGGAAATAATAGTGTTGGTAATTTAAAGAGTGAGGCCAGAGCACCATCTAGCTACTGTTCCTCTGGAGCACACAGGGGCCTCAGCTCCAGGCATATACCCTGCTGTGATAAGCAGCTGCATGGTCCTGTTTGTAATGCCTTCTGTCCCTCTGTTCAGGGGTGGTGTTGCTGTGGCAAGGGTGTTACAGACAGAACCACAAATGCCAGTCTGGCCAGAAGAGCTCCTTCCAGTGCCCCTTTAGGAGGGAAATTCCCCACAATATTCCTACGTGTGTCTTAGGAAGGGCTGATGCTGCAGACCTCCTCTTCTGCAGCTTTGATCCTCTTGCTGCTTCATTTGAACTGTTGGATGTGGCCTTCTGGCCTGAGTTGGTGTTGAACATGTGGGACCTCGCCTGCCATTGGGAAGGGCATGGAAAAGGAGTGTACAGGAAGAAATAAGCCCATATATTAATGTGCTGCATTGGTCACCTGCAGGGTCCATTGTGGTAACAGCTTCCTTTGCATAAAGCTGCCATTTCTGTCCCTTTGCTACTGTGTCCAATACTTGCTGAACCTCCCTAGCTGTCTCTCTTGAAATAAAATACAAGTAGCTGAGAGCAGAAGGGAGATTTACATCTTGTCACCATTTGTGATTTTCTGTTTCTTGTGGAGATGCGTGCTTTCTCAGCTCCTGTGTAATGCTTTTATTCCTGGATACGATTATTTTATGTTCTGGGATTCTTTGTTCATGAAAGCCTTTTTGAGCACTTTGGAGACAGGATTTAAAGTAAATGTTTAATTACAAGAGATATGCCTTTATGTATTTCTGGATTTGCTGAATTTTATTTATTGTTTTATCATTCAAGGATTCAAAACTGCTTTCAATGGCATATTCAGCGGTTGGAAAACTCTCCAGGTAACTGAAACGTCATTTAAGCAATGGGACATTGAATAATTTTTCCAGAGTAGTCTGTTGATTTGTCAGGAGCAAGCTTTATGCCACCTGCCAATTTTGCAATTGAGTGTACAGTGCAGAGGAAAGCATTCCTCTTGTGAAGTCTCCAGAGGTGTAGAAAGAAATACGTTTTTAGCTGATAGCTTTTCTGGCAGTGATTAGTGGCAGCTCATGAATTATGCGCAGAACTTAAGAAATGGTTCCACTTTATGGATTGCCAGAAACATAAAATTTAAGGACTGTACAGACCAGAGGGCATGAAGCTTTTTCAGAGTGGCTTTTTCAGTGGTATGCTGGTGATCTAAGTGATCGCCCATAGAATATCTTGCTTTCCAAACTGTGTTAAGGGGAGTGTGCTATCCTGTGATGGAGATGGGTACGATAGAGCAAACTTCCTGTGCTGGCTCTGTTTTGTTTGACAGTGAAAATGTGGGATGAGGGGAAGACCAAAGAAATGTGAAGCATTTCTATTTAAAAACCCCCAAAACTTCATGAGTTAAAATATCTTGTTTCAGCCGAATGCCTCAGCTCTTTACCAAGGATATAGCACTGGTACAGCAGTTTTTTGAAGCTTTATGCAAGGTGAGTCCTGGCGGGGCTTTGGGAAATCATTAATATTCTGTGCAGATTTTGCATAATTCTTGTCACTGCGCACTGTAACGTGAAAACTCCTGGTTTTGTACTGCAGGAAGATGCTGATACTAGGCTTGCCATTCAGGAGGCTTTGTCTATGATGGTTGGAGCATACAGTAACTTGGAAGGAGCCCAGCGTACTCTGATGGAAGCTCTTGTAGCTTCTTATTTAATAAAGGTATTTTCAATGGAGTCAAAATTAAGTACCTTTAAAAAAGAACTCTTCATTGTTTTCCCTGACACTTCCTGATGTTTACTTTTTGTAACAAGCCTCCCTTTTCTTACTAATTGTATTGGTCTATCTGGGAGAAGAGGGGGTGTGTATGCTCAGATTAAATATTTTCACTATGGCACGGTGTCTGCAAGAAGGGTGATAATGCAGTTTTCTATTTGTGTTCTGTTTTGCAAAGAAACAAAGCTGTTGCAATTGTGCTGCATGTTTCTCATAGTCTTCTCCTGAGAAAACTTGGGAGAAATAGCTGCTTCAGGGACAGTAACTGGAGAAACGCTTTGTGAAAGCAAGAGTTTGGTAGAAAGGCTCTTTGGCTGCTAAGTGGGGATTTCAGCGTGCTGTGTGATTTCTAACATTATAAATCACCTGGGAAACTCCCCAGGAACTCAGTCTTGAGACTGTAATCCAGAGAAAACCACACTTCACTGGCTGTCTTATGTTACTGAGTATCTTGTTTGTGTTCAGAAAGAATGGTTTTTGTATGCTCTGTGTTTGCATTGGGTGCTGAGGGTGACTGTGGAGGTATATGTATTTCTAGTGGTTGCACTCCTAACTGTTTAAGAGACTATTTTCGTGCTGCTGACTCTTTTGCCTGGGTGCTCGAGCGACCTAGGTCTCCAGGCAATATCATTTTGAGACCCAGCAGGGAGAATGAGCACCCTAAGCTAACGTTTCTTTTCCACCTCTGGCTGTGCTGCTCTTAAGCACGGCTCTGTTTTGTGTGGATACATGACGCATGTCATTCTTCATTTCAGAACTGCCTGGGTGGGCAGTTCAGATGTCTAAGAATTAGTGAAAACCCTCATTTGTGATTCCCAAAAATGTGCATGTGTTTTATTAAACAGTTCCTTCTCCACTTGTGTGTATATGGGAAGCTAGCTTTTCTTTTCCCTGTCTCCTGCCATATGAAGAGTCAGCAAGAACAGTGTCTCAGAATGTCTAAACTATTTGAGTCATGTTGGTGTCAGAGGTCAAAACAGATAACTGATGATTTACAAGCGGTGAGTGCAGGCCATTAATATGTTCATTTAAAACCCAACTGTATGTTTGTGTCTCTTCTCTTTAAGCCTGAAGTTCAAGTACGTCAAGTGGCTGTGAAATTTGCTAGCACAGTATTCCCTCCAGATCATATCCCTTCCAGATACTTACTCCTGTTAGCTGCCGGAGACCCGTAAGTTGTTTTCCTTTTTAAGTTATCTTCGTATAGATATATACACACAGACGTATTTGCATCTGATATATATTTGGATGAAATATAAATGCATGTATGTGTGTGTACGTATGTATGTACATAAAAACTCAGTGACTGAAAATCAAATATGATAATTTAGAAATTAACCTTTACATAGGGCATTCTTGACAGTTCTGTGGAGAACTGCTACTGTGCCTTATGGTAGTCTTTGGCTTGGATTCTTTTTCTTGTTTCAGAACCAAAGCACTTCATGTTAATGATCAGTTGCAATTGCAAGTAGAAGTGCATTAACTGAAATCACCTTCACAGGGGCTAGAAATCATTTTTGCCTGGCAAATTCTGTCTGACTATTTTTAGTTTGTATTTGCAAAGAATCAGGAGTATGCACTTGTGAGAGTTGCCACTGTCTGCTAAGGAGTAATTAACTCATGAAATTACTCTAATAATTTCATTTGCAATTCTCTGTTACTGCAATTTGTGGTGGGACTTTTTATGCAACTTACTGTAATTGCTCTATTTTTGATGTGAGTAGCTATTGTTAACTAAGGAAAGCTAAACAGATCGGTTGCAACAAACTGGTCTGTCATTGCAGCATCAGCGCTGTTTCAGGAGCTGATCTTCTGCTCAGCAGAGAGCAATAAACCTGGTAGGCGTCAGCTGAAGCTTAAATATAGGAAGTGATGGGAAGGAGGGGCAGATAGGAAAACCAGGATGTGGGAAGCAGGAACTGGTTGGTGGTGAATGCTTGCAGGATGTAAGAGGAGCAGAAGTGGGCAGATCCAGACTGTTTTGCAGAGGCCCCTCATAACAATCTTTTTCTTCCCCCCTCTCTAAAATAAAAAAATCATTAATGCAAGCTTTTTTTCCCCTTCGTTTAAAAAAACACACTTCTCATTCAAAGACTTTCTTCCCCAGCTTCCCAAGATACCTTATTGCACATTAAATGCCATTTGTTCTGTGCAAATGTCTGTTTCTCATCTTTTCTTCTGAAAGGCGGGAGGAGGTACATGGAGAAGCACAACGGGTGCTGAGAACATTTCCTGGTAAAAATGAAAAGGAGAGTTCTGGGAAGCAGATGCCTTCCTTCCCTGAAATGGTCCATTACATTCAAGACAAGGTACAGTGCTTCTGTCCCAGCAAATGACAAATACATGCCTGATGCTCAGATTTGTAGTAAGTGTGGTCTTTCCTTCCCCATACCTATCTCCTGTGGTGTATGAAGAAATCACGGACTCGTAGGTCATGCAGTAAGCAAATCCAAAAATCCAATTCCACCATCTTTATTGCTACACAGAGAGACTTACATACACTAAGACACAAACCTACTCCCCCCATAATGCCCAATCATGGACTTACAAAAATACTTTTTACCTCTACTGAGCTTATCACAATAACAGTTATTCTACTATCAAGACAAGTTTCGGTTTCCAGACTGTGCTCTGTTTCTTGTCAGGATTTCTCACTCCTCCCCTGCTCTCCAGGTCACTACTGGCACACACTGTTGCTCCAGATGCAAGTAAATCTTAACTCTGTGAGTGACCTTTAACTGAGACCACAGTCTCCCTCCCCTCCCCTGAGGAATAAAGTTAGATAAAATCAGCAAAGATCACGCACAGTACTGCATTACCAAGATTAGCACTCATTGTTTCCTTCTGCTGGCAATAATTGCAGGAGATCAAAGTGTTGAGGAGGCGATCCTTTAATGAAGAAATTATTTTGCTTTGATGCTGTTTGTACAGAAGGTGTATGGAGTGAGGAATCAAGTGCTCAAGGGTGATAATCCAGCATGTTTCACAGACACAGTTTGCTCACAAACACATTCTTGAAGGGCTGGTGAAAAATAATCCTGCGTATAAAACAGAAAAAAAGATTTCAGGCTGGGAAAAGGAGATACAGGAATAAGTGAAGAGGTCTGTTTTGTTGACTTAAAGGCTTAATTATTCATCTTCATTGCAATATGTGGAAATAATGGCTATGTAAGTAACCTGTCACGAGTCTAGTGAATTATGTGAAAAACTGTACCACTGAGTTTACCCTCACTGTTTGCACTCAGAGATCATCTGAAAAGTGTTAAATTGTAGTCTGTGTTACATACGTATGTGTATAATATAGGCTCATAAGGTATTAAGATGATGTGAAGGGTTGCTTTTTTTCCCTCTAATAGTCTACTTTTAAAAAAAAAATATGTCACAAGTATGTAATGTTGGAGGACATCTGGTTTTGCAAGAGACCTGTGGTAGAAGAGCTCTTATACTTGGAGATTTCTTGGGAAATCACAGAATCACAGAATGGCTGGGGTTGGGAGGGACCTTCAGAGATCATCTAGTCCAACCCCCCTGCCAAAGCAGGTCCACCCAGAGCAGGCTGGACAGGAACGCACCCAGGCAGGTTTTGAGTATGTCCAGAGAAGGAGACTCCACCACCTCTCTGGACAGCCTCTTCCAGGGCTCTGCCACCCTTGAAGTAAAGACATTTTTTCTCATGTTGAGATGGAATTTCCTGTGTTCCAGTTTGTGCCTGTTGCCCCTTATCCTGTTGCCAGGCACCACTGAGAAGAATCTAGCACCATTGTCTTGACACCAGCCCTTTAGATATTTACAAGCATCGATGAGGTCCCCTCTCAGTCTTCTCCAGGCTAAACAGACCGGGTTGCATTAGAACAACAGTGTGTGACAGAAATGTTGTATACTCTGCTGGTGTACTCTGCTAGTATATGAAGTATTTAAAGTTTTATGAAAAAACTTGCTTTTGTCCAATATGCTGGTTATTGAAATACATATAAAAAATAAAGAAACCAGGTTTGAGTTTTAGATAACACTGTTAAATGCCTATACCCTTGTAGTTACTTTTTAAATTTTCCTTGACTTCTTTAGTGTCATTAAATAACTATGGATCAGCCTACTTTAATCACTACTGAGAAAAAACAAGATTCTCTCACTCGTGGGTGAATTTAAAAAGCATTTTTCAAGTACTTTTCAGATCTTTCTTACATGTCCCGAAGACATATGAAAAAAATCCTTGAGGTAATTTTCTTTGGTTAGTTACCTCAAAGTGTGAATTTTCACATATCATGAATAATCTGTGAGTGTTGGAGATGTTGGAGAAGTTTGTATGCATTGCTTGGCACAGCAGGCTGAGATGCAAAGTGGATTTCCTGCATGAGTTAGCATCATCCTTCCTCCTGCAAGAAAGTTGTGTGAGCCGATGCAGGCAGGAAGCAGGGACAACCACAAAACCACAGATTAAGGGCAAAGAACAATTTAATGTCAATACCTCATGGATTGGGGAACCTCTGAAGCAGAACCTGGGCAGAGGCAGGCAAGCAGGGGACACAGGCACCACAGAGCCAGAGTCCTTATTATCAAGAGAGTCCTTGTTAGCGAGGGAGTGAGGGAGCTTCCACTTGCTGCTTGGGCCTGTATTTCAAGGATTCCAGCAGGCAGAGTTTTCTGCTGTGCTTTGATCTCTTCAACAGCAGGGCAGGAATCTCAGGTGTGTTTGATAAGGTGCCCCCGAGTCCATCCCAGGCCTATGTTATCTAAGTGCAGATGTTCTACTTGTTGAGCACACAAAACTAAGCAACAACTAGTGTGATAGATGTGTTTTCCAGCACCCCACGTGAGAGTCACTTGAGTGAGTTTACAGTCCTCCTCACCAAGCTTCCCTTACTTTCCCACAAAGTGTATGTGAAAGAGTAGGACATGATCTGCTAGGTAGGGATGGCAACCTGTTCTTCCAGGGAGTCCTCTTCTGGGTCACTAGTTCTGGATTTCACTGATGGTTCTGGAATGTTGCTGAAGTTATAGTGCAGCAAAAGATCTGAGCATGTTAAGAGATCTGAGGATCTGTTGACTTCAGTGCAGCTGCCTTGTATGTTTATTCAGAAGGAAGGCTGCCGTGCTGAACCCAGCCCTAGCACTGGTGTGCATGTCACCTGGAGAATATGGACATGCTTTTCTGCTGCGTTTGCAGCAGGTGTTCTGGAAACCTTCTGTTCGGATGTTTTCCTGCTGAAATATTGCTGTTTGTCAAAGCCAACATTTCCATGGAAAGGAGTTGCTCACTTGCTGCAGTAGTAGACTTCTGCCTCGCAGGTAGCAGGGTCTGGGAGACTCCCTGGATGTCCACCTCCCAGTGCTGGGGACACTTGGCTGCTCTGCAGCCTCTCCAAGCATCCTGGCAGCCAGTCAGCTGGGGCGCCTCAGAGTGTGCAAGTTTATGAGGTATTTTGTTTTTAAATTCTAAAGCACTTCTTTTTTTCCTGAGGGGAAGAAAGAGTGTTGTCCTCCTCCAGCCTCCCCTGCTGTTTCCTCTCATGAGTTCAGAGTTTCCACTTTCTGAGTTGATGGGAACATGAAGTTGATGGACCTAAACTGTACCATTACCAAGTGTACCATGCCCTTCTTGTTAGAGAACTATTGCACGTTTTCAGTTGCTAAGTGGAGGATAAGTGTAGTTGCATCAGCAAAATTTCATCGACCTTTCCAACATCTCTGCCATTCACGGGTCTCAATGTTCCACTTTTAATTTGCTCTGTTGTTTAGGCCTCTCACCGAATGAAAACTCCAGCTAAATATATGACTGGAACCGCAGCGTTGCCTTTCAATCCTGCCACATTTGGAGAGGTAATTGCTTGGATTTACTTCCTCGGATATGTGTACCAATGTTTATTTAGGGGACAGTGTAAGAAGCTGACAGTTACCATAAGTCACACCCTACATTCTAAAATTCCTCTTTTAAACAGGTGTTGGGATTTATCCTCTGTCCTTTGTCTGTCTGTAAACGGCAGTCTGAACAGGATTTTCAAGGAGGGTGGGAGGACTCTTCCCAAGAGGGCTGCTCTGCTGTTTTCTTACCTGGGGTAATAGTTTCTCAGAGGGAGAAACTGTCAATCCTGTGAAAAAGTCCTTACGTTATGCTCCTTGAGGGCTGTTCTTTCTGCAGCAGATTCCCTGGCTTCAGTGGTCTGCAGGCGCAAAATTAGATGTGATGCAAGGTCTGTATTAGCCAAGCATTGTTGGGTTGTGTTTGTACACAGACAGATTGGTGCAGGGTACAGGCTGAGCTGCCCGCAAGGAGGTTGCATCAGCTGATGATAAACCAAAAGTCTATGTATGATTTTGAGAGTGATGCAGGCACCGTAGGGTTGTCTGCTTACACAGGTGTATTGTAGGAACTGGCCCTAAGATTTGTCCCACTTTATATTTGTTCCTGTCTCCATGCTGACTCTTCTGTCTACATTTGATTAAAGAAGAAACATTCTTGTTTTGGTTACATTAAATGCATCATAGTCCCTGCTCTTTTATTTTGCCTCCTCCATGGTTTCCCAGGTGCTCGTGCACTCAGTATCCCGTGTTTTTCTCTTCTCTGCTCAGATAGTCCTGTACCTGCGGATGTGTCTCGCTCACAGTGCAGGTGTGGTGCCAACCTCACAGAGCTTGGCAGATATGCAAGATCACGCTCCAGCCATCGGGCGCTACGTAAGAAACCTCATGTCTGGCAACCACATAACTTTCTCTTCCTCCTCCTCTTCAAAAAGTGCAGAAACCAACCCCGTATATGTATATATTGGCCTTCTTCAGCAGCTGCTAGCTGGTGTTGGAGGTAAGCAGCTGTGTACAGCATCATCTTGAAGAAGAAAAGTCCCTTTTTCGTATTTAAAATGAGTTGCCAGGCTCAGTGCTTTGAATTTGGCTGCAGTGATCACAGATCTGCAACACAAACTATAAACTCTTCAGTTTAAACTTGTTCTCTGCTGCTGCGTAGGTAGGAGAAAGCAGAAGAGTGAAATTGCAGCAGCGGTTGACATAATGCTTTAAAATTGTGAGGCCATTGTCTATAACAACTTCCTCACCAGTGAATGCTGTGTCTTCCTCACTGATAATAGCACATCTGTGACACGTGTAGTGTTAAAGCACTTCAGTGCCTTTAGAACAAATTGCTAACAGAATGTTTTATTCTATTAGTTTCCCTAACATTTCTGAGAAGTACTATACCTTATTATTCTGTATTGTTTGTTATCCCTAGTGAATGGCAAAGGAATGCTTTGAAATGCCAGCAACCTCTTAGCCTCTTTTTATCACTGATGGTTAGATTGTCGTAAATACTGCAGTTGTTTAGTAACCATCTTTAATTTCCGATTTTTTAATTACTCCTTAGGTTTGCCAGTCATGTACTGTCTTCTAGAAGTGGTTTCAGTATATCCAGAAAAACTAGCCACCAGATTTGTAGACAAAATGGATTGGATAAAGGTGTGTGAAAACCTTTTTTTAAATTTTGTGTGTGTGTGGAGGGGGCTTGGCATTAGCAAAATCTGGCATTTTCATGGAGTATTATTTCCAAGTATGTACTTATTTTGAAATCTGGTGCTTCTACTTGTGGTCAGCACCTTATGAGGTGTTATATGTAGCAGGGTAGGGAAAATTGTTATCTGGTATTTCTACTTACTGTCAGCACTTCATGAGATGTTATATGTAGCAGGATGGGGAAGATTATTTTTTGGTTCTTTGGTGTTTCTGATTTTGTTCATTGACCTACATGTTCTGGGTAATGTATGTCATCAATCCTGTTGGTATAGTCAGTTATTTCACATGATCAGAAGATCTGTTAAGGAGCAAAAAAGAGCTGAAAACAAAATTCTGCAAATTTCTGAAGGAATTGTTTGACAATGGGAATGTTGCAGTGGGAAGATGTGAGTGGCTTCTCAGAAAATGAGATGGATTAGATCCCTAATTGTTTTAAAGCCCTTTCTGTGGATGCTTTTTTTATGTTTTTTGTTAGTCTCAAACAAAAAACCAGATAAGCTGGGTTCTGCTTGGGAATAAGCCAAAGAGAATTCTGCTTTCCCTAGATTCTTTTATTGGGCAACTTTCTGCTTTTTCATGATTTGCTTCAGGCATCCAGGATTTAAGCTCTTGCAGGTTGCCTTCGCTTTCACTGGGGGCATCTGTCAGAAAAAAATACTTGGTCGAGTTAAGGAAAAAGTAGAATGTGTTCTAATAATTCTTCATGCTGATATCTGTGCTGTATTGCACTGTATACAGTTTACCACATCTCATTTAAGTGCAGGCATGAACCTCTAAGGAGAGAACTTAAAAACATTCTCCCTTTTCAGTATTGCTCATCGTTTTCAGGAAAACTTTCTCTTTTTTTGGCCTGATGTCTATTTGCAAAATTAAGCTTCTAGGAGCGGTAACTGATACTACTTAGTTACAGAAATACTGCTGTAAGTCATCCTTTGTGTGATTTTGCTTTGCCAAGTGGAAGGAACAGGTCCAGGGGTTTGTTAGAAAGTCAGCGACGTGATTTGATGCAAGTTTTGAGTTGAAGTTAGAGTTACGTTTCGTAACCCTAACTTCATATGTTTCATATGTTTCATGACCTGATCTGACAGATCTCCTTTCTTGTTTGGCTCATTTTTGCCTTTTTGGTGGTGGCCATTCAGAGTTTTGGGCATCATTTTTCAGGAGTGTGTTTCATTATACATTAATGGCATAGATAAGATAATATCTTAACAAATGACCTGAGGCTTCCCAGAGTTCAACTTTTTAACAATTTAGGTGATACAGGATCTCTAATACAAAGTGGATAAATTTGCACTGAAAGCTGTGATTTCCTGGATGCTTGTTTTTTATGTTACCAATGGATGTAACTGGTTAACCTCTTGTGGATTTTTTCCCCATTGATTAATAAAGAGAAAATGGAAGCCTCTAGTAGCTCAGGAAAAATAGTATCTTTAGGGTTTGTTTTTTTAGCTCAGTATGGATGCGAGATGTGGAAGTTCTTCTCTGAAGAAAAAATTTGGCCAATAATTCAGTCTGGGTGTTTAACACAGAGAGGGTGGATAGCCCTCTTGTGGCTAGTTTTACTCTTCCTCCTAAACGTGGGGCGTGTAATGAATGCTTTGCTGGATTGGGGGCTTTGTTTCTTACTGAGTGATAATACTGTTGGTTTAAAAAAGAGTAGTTCCTGAGTTAAGTACTATATAGGTAGCTGCATGACAGTTCTGCTTGTGTATTGAAGCTCTGTATGAACAGACTGTGTAAGAAGCTGCTTCCATATTTTATGTTTCTTTTTTAAAAACTCCTGCAGAGCCTGATGAACACAAACAAAGAAGAAATGCGTGAGCTCGCAGCCCTGTTTTATTCTGTAGTGCTGTCTACCATGTCTGGAGATGAGCTTAGGGCCTCCTTGGAGCAGCTGATCAAGATGACAAAAGACAACCATGTAACTACCTTCCTTTGTCTGCCGCTTCTTGTTTTTTCTCATGTCATGCAACTGATAGGAAATCTGAATCTCACAGTGTGTCCAGGATGTATTAGCCTTAATCTGAGTGTAAAATTAACTAGATAACTTCCAGTTGGACGATGAGAAGGGATTTATGTTGTAGGTGAGTGCAACAGATCTTTAAATAAATTAATCCCTGAAGCAGTTGTTAAGGTCAGTAGGAGGGTTTTCTGGAGGCACGTCCCAAGCAAAGCCAGTATTTAACCACTTTTAGCAGCTAAATATTCCTCGTCTCCCATTGAGGGGTAATGGATCACACTACTGACCTCACAGAGTTTACCGATTCCCTTATTTGTGAGCGACTACAGGTACCCACAGAAATAAGAAAAATGTTAAACTCATTAAATGTTTAAATTCCCCTCCCCTCCTGAGCCACAAGAGCCTCCTGCCTCCCCATCACCTCAGGCTCCTGTCCTGCCAGCAGCCTTTGCTGAGTGAGGGCTGGCTTCTTCCCTCCCACCCCACACGGAGCTGGTTTGCCTGCCTTCCCTCCTCTGGCAGCTCCTTCCCCATCCCGTTATCCTTACCTCTGCATCTTGCCACCACGAGCATGAGGAAGGAGTCCTGAAAACACACCTGTGCTGGTGAGCCTTCAATCCTGACAGGGAGGCAAAGTACCAGCATTTTTAAGTTATATTTTTCCAAGACGTTTTTATATCTGTTTCTGAAGGACTTAATGGACCACCGTTTTACACTGCAGGTAGCAGGCTCAGAGGCCAACAAGAAGTGCTGATCACTTTATGCTGTAATTAGCAAACACGATTTCTTTTGAATCTGTGAGCCAGAGCCACGTCATTGATCAGTTTTATGTAGGGTGCAGCTCCTGCAGTCACAAATGCAGCACAGATGGGTCCCACTGCTTTCTGCCCCAGTCACCTGTGAAGCCAAGGGTGACCTTTTGCAGAACCTGGCTGAAAGTAAAGAGAGATGTGAACCACGAAACACAAAAAAAGCAGGGTGTTCCCATGCATTTTTGAGTTGGAGTCTGTTAGCTCTCTGTTTTGCTGTGAATGTAAAAACCAGTAGAATCAGTACAGCTGGGGGAGTGGTGGTAGTCTCTAGTGGCTCAGCAAGGACTGCGGTGTACGGGGGTAGCAGAAGTGAGGAGCAGGGAAGGACATATCTTCAGCTGGCTTGGCTGCTGTGAGACTAATTCCTGTGGCCAGGCTGGTTTGGGGATCCTGTCCTGGCATCACAGTTGCACTGATGCAAGTTTTTGCAGGGTTGTGATAAGAAACAGATAGGTGAACTGATCTGAGTTTAAGCCCCTGCCCCCTTCTTTTTTTTTTTTTTTTCTTTTCTTTTAATTAAGGTAGCGTTTAAGACACACAGCCTTATTTCTACACAAGATCTTTCTGTTAGAATTCATCTGTGGGAATGAGCACTGTCTCAACGTCAAATCAGCATTCAAGAAATTAATGTTCTTGACATTTAATTGTAATAATTAGTTTTCATAGTCTATGGTCTGCTGAACGGTGTAGAAGCAGTGTTCTCAATGTTTGTAGGCCGAGTGTGTCCTTGTTCTTAGCAATACAAATCTAGAGTAGATGTGCTGCTTTTTTCTGCTGCTTTTTACCAAATTATGTTTTGTCCCCTTAATCTGAGTATGTCCAGTTTTTAAGTCAAGACAGCATAGTATTATCTTATTTCACTTATTTCTTAAGTCTGTATTTACAAATCAGATTAGTTGGATTTTTTTTTTTTTTTTTGTCCTGGTTACCACGCCCGGGACTTATGTTTTGTCCCCTTAATCTGAGTATGTCCAGTTTTTAAGTCAAGACAGCATAGTATTATCTTATTTCACTTATTTCTTAAGTCTGTATTTACAAATCAGATTAGTTGGATTTTTTTTTTTTTTTTGGCCTGGCTACCAAGCCGTAGTCTTTAGGAATGTGAGTACTGGTGATAAATTCCTAATTTGTCCTCCTAAGCCTCTTTGAACTTTTGTTAATTTGTCTTAAAGGACTCTATCTGTCAGAGGGCACTAGCAGTATCAAGCTCTCTGTTGTTGCATTATGTGCTAGCACTGTGCATTCTTCAGGGTGCCTTCTCATCTGGCTTGTCCATATGTGTTTTTGAATTGGTGCTTTGTGCAAAGTGTTACTTACTTGGAAAATGAGATTTTCTGCACTGTTGGTGTTGTCTGTAGAGCCCGGAGGTCCAACATGGATCCTTGTTGGCTTTGGGATTTACAGTAGGAAGGTACTTGGCCAAGGGGAAAATCAGAACAATGGAGCTACAAGACATAGAACAGCCAAACACTGCAGTCATGCCGGAACAAGAACAGCTCATAAAGTCGACGACAGAGACAATAGGTAAGTTCCTGCCTAAGACTGTGCTGCATGTAACAGTTGTTTTTTCAACCACTCCAGGCTGAGGACTTTCCTAAGATAATTCAGCCTATAGATACTGTAATCTTGAGTTCACTTTCTGCGATAGAATTTCCAGCCTGTAAAAAATGCCATCTAACTAGATGCACAGATGTAACCCCTTTCAACAAGAATTAGCTGGGCCCTTGGCTCATAGACCAACGTAGCACAATTAGGAGCGGTGCCACTCCCTAGACTCCTCTCAGTGCCTCCTTTCACTTTGATTTTGTTCTAGCATAATGCTTCCTCCCAGCTGTAGGGGAGATAAAAGCTTTGCTTCTTGCATGGGTAAAATATGGGCCTGCCTGCCCCCTGCTAAAAAAACAATACAAAATCCAAGTTGTCCTGTTTTGTTTTTTTCCTGTAGGTTCTTTTCTGGACAGCACCTCTCCCTTCCTTGTGGTGGCTGCCTGTACAGCTCTTGGGGAGATCGGCAGGAACGGCCCCTTGCCAATCCCCAGCGAAGGAACAGGATTTACAAAGCTGCAACTTGTTGAAAGCTTATTGGCCCGAATCCCTTCCAGCAAGGAAACAAACAAGGCAAGATTTTATAGTGTTGTTATGATTCTTGTTCTGAAATGCTCTCTGCTCAGGTTTGGGCATTACCTGCCAAACTCAGCCTCGTTTTTTTAAAGGAATTAGGCTTATTGTTGGCTTAGTGAGTGAGTGAGTTACAATTAGGCTAAGGGTTTTCAGAAGTAGGCTAAGGTTTTTTCCCATGTTGTCTAGCAATTGATCGCTTGTGCTTTCTGTAGTCGTAAATAGGAGCTTAAGGGATGAAAACTATGAATGACCATAACTTTAATTCAAGAAAAATGGGAGTATCTTCTTTTACCTAGAAATAATCCTCAAAGGTAACAGGTGGTTTGGAAGAGAGGTGCACTGATTGATCTAATAAGTCACTTGCATGTTTAATTTCTGCTACCTTAAGTGAAACTTCAGCAAGGGTGAGAAAGAATGGGTATACAGTCTGTCCTCTGGGTTTACAGGAAGGTTATGTGATGGTGTGGGGTTTTTTTGTTTGTATTCTAGATGAAGGAACGAGCAATACAAACATTAGGTTACTTCCCAGTGGGAGATGAAGATTTTCCCCACCAGAAGCTACTCTTGCAGGGCTTAATGGATTCTGTGGAGGTGAGGCACTGTCAATGTATTATTCCTATACTGCAGTGAGTATTTTTATTTGAATGTTTTTTATATGCTCTAGATCGAGGTTTACAAGGGGAGCTGTCTTTTTGTAACAGTGCCTATGGGTTTGATAAAACTGTGTTGAAATAGAGAGCAGAGGTGGGTTTGAGGCTTGTAAAATGTTTTATGCCACAGTTTAAAAACTTGCCAGTTGAGGCCTCTGTCCCAGTGTCTGAGACAAATACATGTTCCCCTTCAGGAAGATTGGACGTGTAAAAATTCAAGAGCTTATAGTAATGAAGCCATAGGTCTGTATTTTGGCCTTCAAAAGTACCCTAAAAGTAGATAATATAAATACACCATCTCTTTTGACTGAGCTACATCAGCTGATGTAACTCACTTGAAGTAAAACCTTTGTTTCTAGGAATATAATTATCTATTGTCAGTATAAATGCATCAGTGTACTGCACTGCATTTTTTCATAGTACTTCAGGGCTGCTATACATATTGCAATATTCCAGACAGCAAAATTAAATAGTCAAGGAGCTTTTTTAGTGTTCTTCATTTACAGCTTGTTTTACTTTTCTTCCTTGTTCATACTGGCATAGTATTCAGCATTATAGAGGCAACTATTGAGTATCAGACAGGCAGGCATTCCTGAGTCCTCCAGTCTGATGTGATGAAACAAGCAAGAATAGTAAGAACACTGTGTACACAAACACGAAATGATGTTTTTGAGTGCTGTGTTTATCTCCTGTAGCTGCTTAGGGACATTACAGCTTCCTTTATAAAATGTCTACTTTGAAAAAAAAAACAATTTATCTTAGATTGCTGGAAGCTTAAGGCTTACTTCTTCAAATGCCTGAGCATTTTGTACTTCCAGAGAGTAAGGAAAGCAATCTAGAAGGTACTCAGCAGGTATGAAAATCAGTTCTTACAATGCAAGATTCATCATAAATAATGGCAAAAAGTAGCAGAGTTCTGCACGTTCTGTTCCTGAGGGCGTAGAGAATAGTGGAAAGAGGACAGAGAAGCAAAGCTTGTCCGCATTATTTTAATGTGAAAAACAAATTTGTGCATCTCCTAGAGCTGATCAGCTTCTGGACAGAATTACAGGAGGACCTTTTACTACTGCCTACTATAACAAAGCCACAGTAATTTTTGTTAATGACTGGCAGTCTTATTCTAACTTTGTTTTGTTTCATCCTGTCTCTCCAATTCTTTCTGTTCACAAAGTTGAACTTTTGATGAGACTAGCAAATGCTTTGTAGGAGGCACACTTTAAAAATAGGTATTGAAATTTCAGTGCTTAGCATTTGTTTTGGAGAGTTTGACATCGGCTCAGTTTCCATCAATTTCAGTGAGTCTGAGGTGCCACATAATCTCAGAAGTTCACCAAAAGAGTGATCTTACTGCAAATTGGTGCTGAGTATTGGGATTGGGAGAGAGACTGTGGTTTGGTGGAGTAAGTGCCAAAAGTTTTGGTGTGTGTTTAATTAGTGCTGTCAGTGAGGCTCTGTGTGTTTTCCAGGCCAAACAAATAGAACTGCAGTTCACCGTGGGTGAAGCTATTACCAGTGCGGCCGTAGGAACCAGCTCAGTGGCTGCACGTGATGCGTGGACAGTGACAGAGGAGGAATACATCCCTCCTCCAGGTAGGACTTCCTCACACAGGGGCTGGGTTGAGGAATGTGAAACCTTGCAGTTCTGGACTAATGCTGGGCTCCATAACTTTATTTCTGTGGTGTTTGATTTGTAACAGTAGATGTAAGAGACATTTTGTATTTGTTAATGCACTGCTCAGTGTTCCGCAATGCTGGTTATATACAGGTCATTTCACCTCTTCCGGTCCATCTGCTCAGAGGATACAGAAGAATTTATTTTATGTGCTGTTTATATAGCTTCTTGGTGAAATGTAATTCACTGCCACACGACACTGCATTTGGTTTATTTTTCTCATTTTGGTTTGCCCTGTTGGGTTAGTTTCAGATTTAACATACAAAAACTTTTTAAAATACCTTTTTGAAGCCTGCAGTGGAAAACAAAATTAAATTGCAAGTCATTTTCCAACAACTTATCATAGAATCATAGAATCATAGAATCTTGGACTGATGTGATTAAGTGACATTTACATGCAGTAAATTCAGAAATTGTATGCAAGGACTAAGTTTCCTTACCCATTGAAATAGAAGCATGACAAAATGCCAGCTTCAAAACAGGCAGCTGTAAATATCAGCCTTAGACCTGTTAATGTTATGAGAGTGGTCTTAGATCTTAAGTGTACTCAAAGCTGAGCATGTGCAGAATGGGGTAGAAACTGAACCCTCCTGTTGCTCCAGAAATTTTGAGTCCTACCAAAAAAAAAGAAGTAGTGTGCTAAATCTTATGCAATATGAGCGGTGCCTCTTTGTGGCCACAGGCTCTGAAACAGTCTCATGAAAGATTTGGAGGACTCTATTCAGTGTGTGTATTAGGAGAAATACTTTCCCAGTGACTCCAGTGAAGGCTTTTCCTAAATAAGCAGAGATTAAGGTGTCACCTGAGTACTCATGGACTGATTAGGTTTAATGTTGTTGCGGCACATTATATTGAAATAAAGAATCAGTATGGCCCATTCTCAAAGTTCCTCCCCTCACCTCCACCTTTCTTTCTTTCATATAGATTTGAAAGTGAATGATGTTGTTCCCTGGGTCCTAGACCTGATTTTGAACAAGCACATTATCAGCCCCAACCCACACGTTAGGCAGGCAGCTTGCATCTGGCTTCTGTCCATGGTGAAGAAGCTGAGCACACACAAAGCAATTAAGGTAAGAAATATGCCCTTTCCTAACACTGGCTCCTTATCGTCCTCTGCTTCTCACCTCCTTTCTGTCCCTTTCTTCCCCTTCACTTCCACTGCCTGTTTTTCCCCCAGTGTTTCTGCAGTCCTTATTAAGGTCTTTTTCAGACGTGGCTTATCTTTTGTTACTAGGGGAACATACTAACTGGCAGATGAACGGGGCTGTTTGGCACCTTTGTCAACATCTGACTTGCACTCAAGTCAGAGTGAGCTTAGTGTAAATAGCTGTTGTAAGGTGAAGTAGCAGTACATCTTCCCTTGGGAATAAGAGGTTGGTGTCTATATAGTTGTTAGGATTTATTTTTAGAAGACATTAAAAGGAGGTCTAGGAGGGGAACACGGGATAAAGCTAGATGGAATTCCTGGACTTATTTGTTTCACAGAGTTTATCTCAACTTGTGGATCCAGGAGCAATTATGATGTTCTTTCTAGACTGTATTTTTTGTGCACTTTAATGAAAACCTTGTATTTAGGGTGCTTGGCTGTAATGAGAGAATGTGGCAGGTCCTCTACAAGAACTTAATAAAGTATTCCCAAGCAAAACGTCCTTTCTCTGAATAGCACTACTATAGTCTGTGGTGGGACTATGTAGGCATTTTGTGCTCTCCACGTAACGATGAAGAGCTGTGGGACAGCAGGTGCTTTGCAAATGTGAGCTGTTGCATGTAAAAACCTTGCCGCATATTACACTTGTCTAAACAAGGGATCTTGTGGAAGGTGGCAAAATCCACTGGTTTGGGGATGAAGAGAAGATGTCCTCACACAGAGGATAGCCCCCTCTGGCTGCAAGACAGATTTATCATGCATTTCTGCTATGAATTAGACAAGGGAAATAAAATATGTGGTTTACTAATGGCATGATAGTTGTAAAATGGTGCTGGACAAATAACTGTTCTCTTCTGTGAATGTCAGTCAGGCAGCTGCTTACCTGTCTGGAAAGGAGGGCAGTTCTTGTCGTAGGTGTAGCTCAAATTGGCAATTCCATTGATACAGTAGCCTCTGGTTATCTGTTAGGAGCTTGCTTTGAGACCAGGCAAAGGATCCAAAACCTGAGATTTTTAAAAATAATGTCCTTTTTTTCTCATCTTACAGTCTCATCTCAAGGATATTCAAAGTGCATTTGTTTCCATTCTGTCGGATAGTGATGGTAAGTACTATCACATCATCAGAGTCGCATCTTTTGGTGGGCTTTTAACAGAATGGAGGGAATCTTTGAACAGGAAGAAAGTCACCTACACTCTCTCTGTGAGTCAGCATTAAAAGGGGACTGTAGGAGCATCCCGTTTCTGATGAAATAGGAATAATTTCGTTTCTAGGTGCTGTGTGTAGAGATAAGAAACACGGCTTTTTTCTGTGCTTTGCTTAACCAAACAGAAATATTTTGTTGCAGATGCTCCTTCAGACTGTAGTAACAGAAACTGTTCAGTGGTGCTGCTTTGACTCTGCTTTGGACAGCAGGATGTGTATCACAGAGTTCTGCATGGACAGGAACTCTAAGCCCTCTTTAAGCTAGCAAATCTTGGCTTGTAGGTCTGTCCCTGGCAGCTAGTGGAAAGGGTGGCATCCAGCAGCCTATTGAAAGCTCGCTGAAGTTGAAGAGAGTATTACCATTAATTTTGGTGGACTTCAGGGGCCAGCAGTGTGTCAGAATACTTGCGGTTCTTGGATGTCTGTCTGCTATTTCAGTACCTGCAGTGACAATACTAACATGAAGATATCACCTAGTTTGGTGGAGGGTGTGTCTCCAGAGCATATTGCTGCTTCAGAATGCTTGTGTCTTGTCAGGCTAGATCTGTGTTGAAATGGACAGCTGTGAACTGCAGCACAGGCCTCCATTTGCTAGATAATGATCTTGGCTGAAATCTTGATTTTGAAATTTGTGTGTTACTTAATTACATGCTTATTTTTAATTTTATTTTGTAAAATCTCTTGCAGAGCTTAGTCAAGATGTTGCTTCAAAAGGTCTTGGGCTGATATATGAACTGGGAAGTGAACAGGATCAGCAAGAGCTAGTCACCACACTTGTTGATACCCTTATGACTGGGAAAAGGTAAAATGAGCTCCAAACACAGTGAGAGAGTACCCTGAGCTGTGTGTCTGATGGGAACAAAAACGTGCCTCTCTTGTTTGTGGAAAGAGATGTTTCATGGCCAAGGGAAAGCCAATTTCCATATGTTGTCAATGGGTCAAACTGGGACATTTCTTAGTTCAGCTTAGAGTTAGTTGTGACTGAAATTGTTTCGGTTTTGTTCCATTCAACAACACTTCGAAATAATGATTCAGGCCTGACAGAAGCAGTTCAAGTCAGTTTGGGTTTGGGTGGATTTCCTTCTTGCTGCATTGTGTGATTGCAAAGGACAACGACCTCTTGCAGCAGCTCTGCACAATGTGAGCATTGCAGAAATGGGGGCTTGCTTGTGCCTGAAATGTACCTTTTGCCGAGGAAGTGTTGTTAATGGTCACTTGTCTGCTTTAGTGCAAAAAATGCTGGTCTTACAGGTCTCCTGGCTGGTAGTTATGGCAGGTCAGTGCTGGAAATGCTCTTCAGCAGCCTACTGCTGTCTAACTGCTGTGGGTTTGACTGCTGTGAATGACAAAAACCTGGGATCCAGGGAGTGTGGGGATCCAGTGGTGGTAAACAGGAGGAGATTAGATGAATGGAAATGGGATTTTTGCATTTTGAGGTAGAGATTTGCTGTCTGTTACATGGCTTGTGTCTGGGCAGAAGTAAAAAGCCATCATTCGGTGTTCTGACTTTTTACCTTCTGACTGCACAGCAAACCTCCCACTTTCTGCAGTGTCTCCTTAACATTACACATAATCCCGGTTAATGAGACTCCTTGCAGTGGACGTGGCTTTGCACACCTGTATGGTGGTTTTTTTTTGTGTGGGGTTGGAACTGAAAGAATGGGAAGTTACTGAGTTAATAAAGCAAAACAAATTAACGTGTTCTGTAGCATGCAGACCATTCAAGGGTAGTTTGGTAAAGCTAATACTGGACCTCTTTTCTACCAGAGCCAAACATGAGATGACTGGAGAAACGGTGGTGTTTCAGGGTGGCCTGAGCAAAACCCCAGATGGGTAAGTTTGCTGACAGTCTCAATGACAGACACACAATCAGTTCTGAAACAGCGTTCCTTCACCTATGAATCTCCTTCCTGAGCTTTCTGTTCCTTCTTGTTCTCTAGGTTACCATAACTATTTCTGTGTAGTACGGATAGGGTGTTCACTTCTCTCTGTCTGCTTTAGGCTGGGATTTGACCATAGCTTTAGCTATTATGGCATTTGTGTAGCTAAAAATAGTGACACGGATTTCCCTTCTGCTTTCCAAAGTCAAGGTCTTTCTACCTACAAGGAGCTTTGTTCACTGGCTAGTGATCTCAATCAGCCAGACCTGGTGTACAAATTCATGAATCTGGCCAACCATCACGCCATGTGGAATTCTCGGAAGGTAATTTGCTGCTTTCATACCACTTCCATTCCCCCTGTGATCTCTGGATACAGTAATTGCATTCCTCTAGCTCTGGTTATATGATCTGTGGATATTTGCATGTGGATGTTATTTGTGGAGCTTTGGTGTCAGGTTCAATGCAAATTTACTAGCCTGAGAAACAAATTTAGGGTTACTTAAAATTCTTAAAACCTAGTATTGGTATCACAGCGTTCGTACCATCCTGCATTGCGCTTTGAATCAGCTGTGATCCTTTCTTTTTAAGTGTGTTTAGAGGCCAGGTTTTGATGGAACACATCAAAAAAACAGTGAGATCGTATTTTCGAAACTGGATGAATTTTCAGATGCCAGAGAAAGTGACCTTTGTTATCTAAAAAGACCAAAATGTGTTCAGCAACAACTTGCTAAAAAGCCAGTTGACAATATACCAGTCAATACATATATTGCTGTATATGTATATATACCACGTATACCAATATCACTGTTGCCAAAAGTATCCAGTTTCTTATTCAAGTATTGATATTTTAAATTTGCTATTAGCAAAGCCAAAACTGGATCCACTTCCTGCCAAAAATAGCGGAATCATAAATTTGAAGATATAAGTATATTTTTCAGAGCTTTTACTTGGGGACTTTTAACATTCACTGGCTTTAGGTAAACATGGAAGAACTTGTTTTGTCCCTGGGACAGGGCAGAGCACCTTTCATGCGCTTTCATGCAGAAGACCCAGGTAGTTGAATCTACCTTCCTCCTTGCTGCCTGAGGTTCCTTATACTTTCTGCAGGCTCTTGCCCCTCAGAGCAGGGGTCCTAACTGAGAGTGTTATTATTCTTACTTTTCTTGACTAACCCAGACAGCACATCCTGTCCTGTGGAATCCCTAGCATAGGGTTTTGGATGGCAGCTTTTGACACTGCAGGTCAGTAAACATGAAGTCAGTAGAGACAGCCACTGCACTGTCTGTATTGAGCAATTCCTTTTTGGGCTGTCCTGCCAAATCCCCTGGGACTTCATGTGTGAGCATCAGTTCCACTGTTTTAGAATTGACAGTGGAATTGATGATGTTGGAGAAAGAAAAAAGTATGGAAAAATACTCAACTTAAAGTCAATAGGGACAGATGCAAAATGATAATTCCCAGAAATTTCCATTCACAGAGCTAGGGTAGACTTGTTTTATTTTTAGTTTTTCAGTTCCTAAGTTATTCTAGTTCTTCTAAGTGTATTAGACCTGTAGGGAAACAGTGCCCTACTCTCACCAGTTTTTCTGAGAAAGAATCTCTTTTGGAAGAACATACTCAAATCTTCATGGTTTTAATTTGCCACCATCACTTCTGTAAATGAGATCAATCAGTGCCTTTTAATGAAGGTTGGAAAGAAGGAAGTTTTGGAGGCATATATTGTCTGCTGAGTGTGATTGTATGCTTGAGATCACCGTGCTACTGTAGTGCTGATGGGGAACTAATTCTGGTACCATTCTAGTCCTTTTGATTTGGTCCAAATCTAAACTATGTCAGACAACTTTGCCACTGACTGGTGTGCCCATACTGTGTCACTGAGCAGATTGTTTCAACAAATATTCTTTTTTTTTCTGTCATTTCAGGGAGCAGCTTTTGGTTTCAATGTGATAGCTGCCAAGGCTGGAGAGCAACTAGCTCCTTTTTTGCCCCAGCTTCTTCCACGGCTCTACCGTTACCAGTTTGACCCCAACCTGGGCATTCGACAGGCAATGACCAGCATTTGGAATGCCTTGGTCACCGACAAGTCGATGGTGAGTCAGCAGCAAAGTGCAGAGTGGTGGGTTTGCTGCTAGCCAAGCAGCATCTCGGAGACCCTCATGGGGCAGTTGCTTGTTGTGAAAGGAGAGGCTGTGCAGAGAGGAGTGAGGTATTGTCCTTCAGAGAAAGAGGTGCTTGAGTCCGTAGATGAGGATGCACAGAGGTTTCCCACTGCCACTTGCATGTGAAAGTATATCACAGACTTTGTTTGTGCAGCCAATGTTTAAGTATATGATTTACTTTACTTTAAGTGAGGTTTTTCCACATTTTGATGCTGCTTTGATATTGTTTATGAGAAGCTCTTCAGGAATCCTTATGGCCTAGGATGCCCTTCCTACAGCAAGAGCATCTAAATATGTTCCTGAGTTTTTAAGTGGGAGGAGACCCATGGGAAGAGGCTATTCCATCAGTTTGAGGGTAACTCCTGCCAGACAAATTTCAAGAATAAGTGATTTTCATGAGATGCTTTTGCTCTGGCTTGGAAAGGCCTGGAACTGGGTTTGCAAATCTTTTCTCGTAGCAAGGCTGATATTAGTATGAAGTCATTCTCCCTGGTTCCTCATAAAGTGTAGCTGCTTCTCCTATTAATACATTTTTAGTGCTGCATCTTAAACAGTTCTGTTGATACTGGACTGAGGGTCTTTTCTCCTTGTCCTTGTCACAGTGTTAAGCCCTGAAGCAGTGCAGAGAAAGGCATGTCTAAAGCAAAGTCAGAGGAAGTTTCCATGGGGTCTGCTCAGGCGAGTGTTAGTGTATCTGCTGTGGCTGAAAGCAGGTTTTATTGTCCAAAAGGACCTTATTGGTTTTTTTACCCCACAGATTATAGGACAAGGTTGCATGGTCTATCTTTATTTCATGATTTTTCCTTTTTTTTCATAATAGGTTGATAAGTACATGAAGGAAATTCTTGAGGATTTGATCAGTAACCTAACCAGCAGTCTGTGGAGGATCAGGGAATCAAGGTATTGCTGGGAAAAGTAACAGATTTTTCTTCTAAATCTTCTTTCCTCTTCTTCACCACAAATTTGTTAATCTGAAGAAGCTGAGGGGGGGAAAGAGGACTCGGTAAAGACTCGTAAGAGCCCAGTCTTGTAGTCTGCACTTGAAGTGTGATACAGTCTTGAAGCAGTTTCTTCATTCAGCCTTAAAATTTTTTATCGCGTGTATTTTGAACATAACACTGAACAACATTCAGTGTTAGAAAATCCTGGCAGTCTGGTTGTATACGTACTTGGCAGCAGGATGCCAGCCAGTATAGCATTTTTAATAAACTGCTTTTGATTTACAGTAGTTTGTAATTATACTGTATTGAAAACTTCCATTTTAATTTCAATTCCAGACTTTAGGCCATTTCATTTTGTTCTTGTCCTATACTTACAGAAAATAAATCTGAAACAATTTTGTACCTGGAATGTTTGCATTATCAATTTTCACCACAGCAGTCTTTCTCTCGTGCTGTCACCTGTTGCAGATTGCTCCTGACTGGCTGAACGTTTTTTTTCCTCCTCTAAAGGAGATATTCTTATGACAGAGTAGATTAGGGTTTGGGGAAAATAAGGAATGTGAAACAGTTCTCAGGGCTTTTTTAGCCATTTACTTATATTTATAAACGTGTCTGTATATGCACCTATATCACAAAAGTAGAGAATGTGAAGGAAATAAAAATTCCCTGTTTGCAGCTGTCTGGCACTGAATGACTTGCTAAGAGGAAGGCCTTTGGATGACATTATCGACAAGCTTCCAGAGATCTGGGAAATCCTGTTTAGAGTGCAAGATGACATTAAGGTAATGAAACTGATAATTGAACAGTTATCTTCAACAGAAAGTACAGTGACCAGGATCTGAGATGTTTAAAGACAGATTCTCTGAGAAGTCAAGTTGAAGCCAATGGAAGTTTTGCCTGTTGAGCAGACTACAAATTCAGGCACTTGCAGTTAAAATTTCCATGCTGCCCTGGAAATTCTTTGTGTATGTTTCTCATGGTTTTAAGTGTTGGTTTTCATTCCTACTGTGCTTATTCTTGATGGTTCAACATTTTTCCTGGATATAAAAAAATTCCTAAGCATTTCCTTAACTCTTGAGTAGAGAAACATTTCTTTTGGACTGCTTCTATGCTTATACGACTTGCACAGATGAAGTCAGTCCTCGGCTCCTTCCAGCTTTGAGCTGTTTTGTCAATCTATCCAGACTTCTCTGCTGAGGCTTAAGCAAGGCTGAGCTGTTGTCCAAAGCATACTGTGTACTAGTAGATTTAGTGTGTTCAGAAATGTTCCTGGGCACTGAAACCAACTAAGCAGTTTTGCCTCAGTGCTAGTGAGCTATATTAGCCTCCAAAATAGAGCAACTGCCTGCAAACTGCCTTTTGGGAAGGGTCTAGTTCCTGAATTTTACCTGGAAACGGTTTGGGAAAGTCTACTTGGGCCAGGCCAGATTTTTTTCTAAGAATGTCCTAAGACATTACCAGTCCAGGTGATTGTGTTTCAGTACCCAGGGGTACTACTTAATTCATCAATACAAGTAAAGTTAAAGAGTCTTAGCACCAGAGCTGCACTAATTTTACTGTTTGCTTTTAGTCCACCTTTCTCTAGTCCTAGACATTCACTTGAGTAAAGCACCACTAAGCAGCAGGTATCTTACTGAGGAGGGAATAAGGAATACCCAAAGCACTATATACTTATTTTTACAGTAGATGGTTCCGTTGGTTTGTTTGGGTTTGGTTTTGGGTTTTATTATTTTGGGGGAGGAGGGGGTGTTCTGTTTTGTGGGGTTTTTTTGTTTGTTTTTGAAAAGGGCAACCAGGAAAATAGCATCACAGAGATAAATGTGGACACAAGCACAGAGAACCTGTCAGTGCCAGGCAGGATTGTTAATGTATTTCTCAATGAGTAGACTGGATACTTAGGTGGACCAAAGCCAAAATTTTTTGGAAAGTTATTCTATTAAGTATTAGCCATTAGTCTTATCAGCCCTAGTTTTATACTTACCAATTAATATGAATCATTCTATAGAAGATTTAAAAATAGTAACAGTGGATTGTTGACTTCTTTTTTTAGGAGACTGTGCGAAAAGCAGCAGAACTAGCCCTGAAAACTTTAAGCAAGGTAAAACTCTAATTTCATCATTTGCATATGGAGATGTGTATGGTTTTGATGTCAGGTAATCATTCCCTATCCTGTCTGCAGGACTGACCTGTTTACCATAGAGTCTGGTCTTGAAAAGATCTCTAATATAAGGTGCAGAACTTTCCCCAAGAAAGCAATCATTATAAGCTTGACCACATACTCTTCTGCACTTTTGTAGGTGCTGGTGAAGTTCTGCGGCTTGAGGATAGTGCTCTATTAAGTTCTGTACAACCAGGGAAGGGATATAATGAACTGGTTTTTTTCTTCCAATGTCCTTTTTTTTCCACACTTGGGGTGGTATTTAAGGAAACTTTATAACAGTTGACCAAGCCAAACTGATTTAGTTGACCAAGCCCAGTGGAACGTCACTGGTGTGTGACAGAGCAACCCAGCCTGGACTTCACTCTCTGATGCTGTTACTACGCAAGATATTTTGAGAGTAGCAACATATCACTTAATATTTTGTTTGCTGTTCCTCTAAAAAGTCACATTGGTGGAAATAGAAATTTGAAATCACAAGCTTCACAATGCGTGCAGCTGACATTTCAATGGCACACGTGTTGATGTGGTCCCAAAACATTATTGTAATTTCAGAATCTGTTCTGGTTTGGGACTTGCTGCTCTGCCTTGTGGAATGGTTGAATCCATGTGGCTGAGATAGTCTGTCCCTCAACTGAGAGGTCATTTGGTCCATCTCTTTTATCCAAAAGCAGATCAAGGCCTGCTAGGCTCTGAATTTGCCTTTTCTGGAAGCTGACTCTATCTGAAACTCCTTTTGGGGATGTGGCTTAGGGCTTAGGTGCCTCCTGGAGAGGAAGATGAAGGTGTAACAGAGGCCGGGTTTGGCTGTGAGCAGTTGCTCTAGCTGCAGTTGGCTTCTTCTGCCTGACAGAGATGATGCTTTACTCTAACCTGAGCAGGAGGTTTGTATGTGCTTGCAACACTGGTTGTCACCCGTCCCCAGGTCTGCGTGAAAATGTGTGATCCCTCCAAAGGAGCAGCAGGTCAGAAGACGATAGCTGTGTTGCTCCCTTGCCTCCTGGACAAAGGGATAGTAAGCACTGTTGCTGAAGTCCGATCTCTCAGGTTAGTTTTGCATCATGTAAGTTCCCCAGTGACCCTCACCTGAGTTGCAGCATGTTCTGTCTTTGAAGTGACAGTTTCTCCCCCAAAACAGCTTTCCTGCTGAGTCCTTTTCTCACTTAGTTCAAATGATAGCCCCGAGTACCCTGTCTTTTGGGAGTGCCTGGCCTCTCTGCAAATGCCCAGATTCAGTTCCCAGCAGGAAGTTATTTTCTCCCTGTACAACTGGCAAACGGATCTGCAGGCAGTTTGCTGTGCTTGAGGCTGTCCTTCAGGGCTGGAATATCTCTTCTGCTTCTAAATAAAAAATCCCGTAGCAGTTCTTGAAAGAGCCAGGTCTTATTTCAGGACTGGTTGTGAGTAATGACAGGTCACATCCCAGAGGTGACTGCATTTGGTCACACTGTTCAGATACAACTTATGTCATGCAACGGTTCAATGTCCCTTGATGTGTAGGGACTTCACATGCTTGTCACATTGTAGCCTCGTTTATTCCTTCATTTGCTTGAAGGTCAGAAAAAGTGGAAGATTCAGACCTGGGTCTTTGCAAAAATAGGGGTTTTTTTGTGTTGAGCATAATTATCCAGGAAGGTTAGAAAGCTTGTGATGAATTCTAGTTAATATTTATTGAACTTTTTCACCTGCTTTGAAGATATGAAAGCCCTTTATCAAAGTGCAGCTGGAGAGATGTGGTCAGTCTGAAACTGACAAGTGAGATTTGAACAGATCATTGTAATTTGTTTTTTCTTGGGTAGTGACAAGGGATGTCTCTGGGGTGACTTTGCCCAGAGCTTCTTTAAAACATGAAGATGTGTTATTTCTTCCTACATCTGTCTGTTGTACTGCCTCTTTCCCCATTCCCTTTGTGTTATCCTGGCCAAAGTAAGCAATCTCCATCCAAAGCATGGCATTAGAAGCTTAGGGCTAGAGCATAATTTTGCTTAAGCAGGAAACTAGACAATTTTTTGTTTGCAGGTAGTTTTATATTGGTGTTTCTGAGGCTTGGATTGGCCTTTTTGTTCATACTGTGTTAGAGCAGACCAGAGAGGTTTTTTAGCTAAGTCTGTATGTTTCTCCGTTGACCTTCACTTTAATCTTCTCCCAGCATTAACACTCTCGTGAAGATCAGTAAAAGTGCCGGGTCTATGCTGAAACCTCATGCACCAAAACTTATCCCAGCCCTGCTGGAATCCTTGAGTGTGCTGGAACCTCAAGTCCTCAATTATTTGAGTCTTTGTGCAACAGATCAGGAGAAGGTAAGTACAGTTATACTGGGGAAAGTATCAATAGAACAGAGATAACAAAGATTTAAGCTTCATTCAGTGAACAGAAAAAAATAGCAGATTTGGTTCAGAGGTGTCAAAGATGCAAAGAGAAATAGCTAATAAGTTACTAAAAGAATGTTGGTCATTGGAATGTGGCTGGATAAACGTGGGGTTTTTTTGAAGGGTTGGGATTTTTTTTATTCACCAGAACACCACATGTTTCAGAAAGTGAAGAACAACCTTAGTAAGAACTGTTGCTAAATGTCACTTCAGCTCCATGTACAACTGTGGAACAGGTGAAGAGAGAGTCTGTAATAATTATCTGGAATGCACCTGTACTGTCAAACTTTGCTGCTGATTTTGCCAGGGGATTAACTGCAGGACTTCTTATAGATTAGAAGCTGTGCCATATCACTGTATGCAGGAGGTGGGTGTTGTCAGCAGTGTGTCCTTTAATCTCTCTCAAAGAACTGTATTATAACCAGTAGCAGTCTTCTGGGAAAGTGACTGAAACCCACTGTTCAGAAGCAAATTTAGCTAATTTCATTATGGGGAGGGAAAGGGGTCAAACTCTGCCCTTTGCAATTGAGAAAGGAGTGAACAGTAGGTCAGAGTGGGATTTATTCTCCTTTTTCCCCTTTTTTTTTTTTTTTTTTT